ATACAAAAGAGTAACTTTTAAAGTGACGTCATTACACATATGATTCCTTGTGCGAGCGAGACTCGAAATATTTACAGCACCTTTGCCACCACTAACAATAAAAATTAACTTTCTACCTTATGTTATCTGAGTAAAAAAAAATGGAAAATAATAAAAATCTTTGGTTTCTCAAACAATCCTGTTAAAAATAAAATATTGTCATAAAGGGCTGTATTTTTCTCACAAGAATTACAAAAAGTTATTACTATAGCAATATAAATTATAAAAAAAATTCAGGAATTTTTATTGTAATTCATAAATCAATTCAGCAATTGCAAACTTATAAATAATTATTAATGAGCACAAAAATATTGTTTAAAAAATTAATTATTAAAATTAAATAATCTACATTAAAGTATGGTTTAGAAATATTGCACCAATTTGACTTTTAATTGTAGCCAAAGTGGAAGACAATTTATTTATTTATTTATTGTTGTTTATTCTTGTCCGACAAATATTACATACATGTTATATGCACAGATCACAAAGAAAAATTGAGATAACAATTTTTGGGAGGGAATTTGATTTATGAAATGAATGATTGAAAATTGAAAAATAAAAATATTATTTTCAATCAATTTTCAACGCACTCAATCTATATATGCTCGATCTGGCACCCACATTACATTTTTTGTAATCTTTATGGAGGCAAATCCTAGATTGTAACCAGTTTATTAGCATACATCTTGGAGTTTTGGATTAAATTGATGGCATTTTTCAATCTGAGCCTTGTAAGGGCCTGATAATTGACCCCAAGTAAGTGCATTTCGTCCCGAGGGCACTTATTCCTCTCTGGTTCATTTTCTCTCGTCCGCTGCCACGATGCCGCAGTCCATTAAGAGAGCGGGCGGGCGCATTTTCGAATCCACGGCTTCTAATCTCGGCCGAGAGCTGCACCATAAGACAATAAATCTCAACGGCTCGACTCTGTTGGAGCGCGAGAATTAGAGGAATATCTTAATTTATTATGTGACCCCATCACTTCTTATTATTTATTGGCCGCCGCCGCATGGCCTCTTCGCTCCATAGCTGCCATGATTTTATTTTGTTTTAACGCTGAGAGTCCATTAAAGCATCTAAAGACCGGAACGCCCTGGTGGGATTGCTTTTTTGAGATATTAATTAAGGACCCAGCAATTAAATTATTAAAAAGAGCGCCTCCATTGATTTGAATCTAATGAGGAGAAAAATAATTTCGGTTCGTTTCATCATAGGAAAATTCATCGTGCTAATTTTAAAAAGAATTTTAATTTAACAAAGCTTTTTACCTCATTATATTTAAAATGAAATAAATGCTAAATATGTAAAATGAAAATAAACTTAAACTTACACTCTTAATTCTTATTTATCTGGCAAACACTTTTGTCATGCAGGCTGCATATTATAATTAAGTTATGTATGCTTCGACTGCAGTTTAATTATTTAAAATGATTTTTTTATATGTATTCCTTTATGAATCGATTTAAATGAACCAAATAAATAAGTGAAATGTAAATAAGTCAAAAGAATTTGTATATTTTTCTGTGCTAGCCTGAGGAAAAAATTGCATTCCTGTACTTCAAAAACTACTGTCGAAGTAAATTAATGAAAAATATGCCGCACAATTCAAACCCAGATAAAAATACTTACTTTTACAACTTGATCCTATTTCTACATGCTCGCCGTGTTCCTGGCTCTTAATATTAAATACAAATTTTTGAATGTGATCGATAATCTTCATTTTCTATTATCCAATTTGACAAGTTGCTCCTCCGCTATCAAACTCTACTTCACTAGAGTCTGGCACAAAAATGGTCAACTAATTTGATATCTAATCGTGAGAACACCTGAAAGCTACCATAACAGTACATGATGCTCGCTAGGAAGAAGTCGCTGTTTCTCTCCGCATAAGAAAGAAAGAAAGCGATGAGGCCCCTCGCTGTCTCTCCTGGATGATGGGCACTCTGTGCGTCCGTCACTCATCTCGAGTTTCAATCTTGACGCGGCTTCTGCCGCGGCGGTCGCGCGGGACAGAAAAAGAAAAGCTTCTGGTGCATCGCAGCATCTCTCTTTGATTCTCTGCCGGCGAGGGTCAACAGCCCCGCGACATGCTCGACTGCACTGCACAATGATCATCATAATAGTAACAACCTGATACTACACACATCGCGAGCATAATTGGCCGCGGGGCACCCACAGAAAAAAAGCTGCTGCTCCTCTCTCGCACTCGGCCACTTATTCGCACAAAAGGATCACCTGCGGCCCTTTGCTTTTTATTTCGCGTCGCTTTTTGTGCCGTTTAATATTGGGTCACACGGCTAATTTGGATTTTTTGCTTGCCAACTGCAAATTAAATGGCTTGCGAGAGAAATTTCCAGTTTGTTCCCCCCGCTGCCACGTAATTAGGCGGCTTTTAATGTACCCAGTGTAATTAGTGAACGGGCTGATGATTTGATCTTTCAATGGATCCGTTTTCCGTACAAAAGCGAATGTAAAATCTTAAAAAGTTGATGTGCAAATATTGTTTTATTATTAATTTCATGTAGTTTCATAAATTAATAAACTTTATTTTTATTACCATTTTATTTTTTTAATTAATTTGTTTTTAATAAATTAACTTCAAATTACAAAATAAAACATTTGTATTTAAAATTTTTATTTTTATTAAATTTTTAAATTCTTAAAATAATTTATTTAGTGTTGCTAATTACACTGAGAATGCAACAAGGAAATCACTGTCCATATGTCTATATTATACACTTTTGAACCATTATATAAATAATTCCAACGAAATTAAATTATGAGGAGACAGGGAACTAATATATTACTTAAAAAAAAAAAAACAATCAAATTTGGAGCTCTTTAAATTGCAAACACAATTTACTTAAATTTTTTGTGAAAAATTTCAATCAATAATCCAAAATCTTGTCATCAAAAAGTGGTGTGGCTTAAAAAATTATCATAGTTGCTTGCTTCAGAAACTATTTCAGACCACTTCAGCACACATAACAAATATAGTACATAATGTCCTAGTATAAATCGAGTGGTCATCTCTAGTCCCCTCTATCCTATTTGATATACTCATAGAACCACATTTTGATCCTACCGCTCCTTTTCCTGCTCTGACCTGTGTTGGACATTCGACATTTTACTTCAATAACCTGCTGGTCTCTTCTACCGGATAGAAGTTTGTTGCTTGTCCCTCTCTAGAATTTATTTCTGCGGAAAAAATGCCGAGACATGAGATTTAGTTGGACGCGGGCGACCTGTGAAATATTTATATGATATGCCTCTGCGGTTTCGACGCGCGGAGAAGAATATTTTCCCTCCCTAATAATAATAAAATATTTTTTCTCTTTCTCAAGCGTCATTTGCCTCTCCGCTCCATTAATACCGAAAGAGCAAACGTGTATAGATTTTATATTTTTGGCCCTATCTGAAAATCATAAATTAGTCAGACAACATTACTGTCAAATATATTCGCTCCGCCAATAAATATTTTTTTGCTTTCCTAGCTCTCAAGTGTCTCTCTTTTATATGGTGTCAGCGAGATAGATTCAGATATGTATAAAATATATTTAGAAGAAAAAAATGAGTGTGCGTCTGTATTATACAATCTGGCAGCTTTTTTAATAATTTTAGGCTGCGAGATGCCGCTCGCGATGGATGTGTGGCTATTTTCGCCACAAGATATGAGCGCCGCACTTCATAAACTAGACTCTCATTCTGACTTTTCATATAGTTGAAGGGAACACACGGCTATAACAGCTCCTCACACAACGGAGTTTTTATGAGCGGAGAGTGAAATCCGCGAAGCAAATCTTGATTTTCCCATCTTTTTCGTTAAAGCTATACACGCGGGCTAAACAAAATGTGTGCACAAAAGTTATTAATTATTTTCAAGAAGATTTTTTTAAATGAGAGCCGTAGATCATTTGGACTGTGCACTTTTCAAATTACGAAAATTGGGATGCGTCGGTCATGCTTTTTTATTAATGGCCAGACTCACGAATTTAACGTCTCAAAAATTGATTCCCTTTTTCTCCTCCGAGAGAAACATCCTTTTCCTTTTTTATATTTTTTCGGTCAGGCCGCCGCCTGCTGCTGGCCCCTCGTAAAAGGCCCATAAATATCAAATCACCAAACATCAAATTACACGCGCTTTTATGTCGGCTAATCCATTTTAGCATTTTATTTGCATTCACTGGCCCAGCATTGCCTAATTGAATTCATATAGGCGGAGGCTGCGCTCGAACGAAATATTCAACGATTCTGCTTTAATTAGCCAATTACTGGATGCAAAACACGACTGAAAATAAATTGGCCTCGATGTTTTTGGACAAAAATGCAAATTGATCGTCGCGGTGGCAGATATTTAGGTGGAGCTCTTTGTTTATTAAAAAAACTGGATTACATTTTCTCTGTGTGGCCAAAAGAGTGATGCTTTAAGATTCAATGGAAACAAAAAAATTTCAGATTAAAAACTTGTCACAAAGTCATTAAATTGACTTTTTTTTATAAATAGTGGAAAACCTGATTTACTAATGGAAACAAAAATAAAAAAAGGGCTATTAACTTCATTAATTATTTAATAAAAATACATAAAAATAAGATAAAAGATTTAAAATTAGAGAGCAAACTTAAAAATCATGAAAACAAATTAAATTATTCGACCAAAACTGCTAGATAGATTTTACTGAATCAGAACCTACTTCACTTGAGGCAATTAAAAGCAAAATTTATTCATCCCATCTGTGTGTACTGTACGTAAATATACCACACGCACATGACTCTTTTATATAAACTTTCATTACATAATATGAAGTCTGCAAAAGCGGTTTGCTCTGTTAAACTTGCGCTCGGCGAATTTCTGCTTTTCATGTACTGCTTGTGTGTATATTATACGAACAGAACATGACAAAGTGTAATTGCCGCTGAATTATGATGGGAGGCAATTAGCGAGCTAAATTAATTGTCGGCAGGTGTACGAGGTCGCGTACGTGATAGTCAAGGCGGGCATCTCTCCGCGACCCGGCAACTGGATCCTCGAGCGGTCGCTCGACGGCAAGACATTCTTCCCGTGGCAATACTACGCCATCACCGACGAGGAATGCGAAACCTGGTTTGGAGTGCCGCCTACCCCCGGCAGGCCGACCTACAGGGCGGACACCGAGGTCATCTGCACTTCCTATTACTCTAAATTGGACCCTCTTGAGGGTGGAGAGGTGAGACATTTTCAAATTTATTTTAGGGGCTGCTGAAAATATTTTATTTAATCTATATTTGCAAAAAAAAAGAGCGATGTTCAATCTCGAATTCGTCACTTTTAATTGAAAATCGTCTATTTTGCCAAATTTCAACTATAATTTTAACTGGTTGAGAATTTTCCCTAAAATTTATTTCTTTTGAATCTGGACCATTTTGAAGTTAAAAGTTTTACCAAAAATCACTATTATATTCACATTGAAATAAGTAAAATTACCTTTTTACACATTTTTTTATATTTTTTACTAGGAAAAAACTTCATTTTGAGCTTTTAACAAAGTTTGAAAATTAAACAATAGATTTTTTTTTGATTTTTTATCAAAATAAATTCCTTCAGTTATAATTTAGTAAAAATCGTAGATTTGATTACTTATTATCATACTTTTTCCTCTGAATTTTGAAACATTTTGATTTTGCTCTAACATTGAATGAAATATTTAAAAAAATTAGATTCACACGTCGCTTGTGAATGGACGTCCCGGAGCTAACGAGTCGAGTGCCCTTTTGCGCGAATTCACGCGCGCCCGCTTCGTCCGTCTGCGTTTGCAGCGTATCCGCACTTTGAACGCCGACCTGATGACCAGTTCGAGCGACCCTGGCCCAGAGTACGGCCGAGGAGACACGGGTCTTCCTCCTTCATCGGTGGACGCTTCCGTCACCCAGAGATACTTCTACTCAATCAAGGACATTTCAATCGGAGGACAGTGCGTCTGTAACGGACACGCCAGCGACTGTCCAATTAACAAAGACACTGGGGTGAGTCTATTTCATTGAAAAATTTAATTAAATTTAAATAAAATGTTTACAAATAAACGTATTAATGATAATAATAAAAATGATCAGGAACAATAATTTTTTTTAATTAAATTAAAATTTATTTTTATTTTTAATTGTTCCAGGTAAAGTCTTGTCTTTGTCGGCACCACACTTGTGGAGACAGTTGCGACACATGTTGCCCAATGTACAACCAGCACCCCTGGAGGCCTGGAACTGCCCTGGACGCAGCAAAGTGCGAGTCGTGCCAGTGCCATGGGCACGCCGACTCCTGTACTTATGACGCAGAAGTGGCAAGGAACCGGCTGAGTGTCAATACCAAAGGGGAGCGCAAAGGCGGAGGAGTTTGTGTAGACTGTAGAGTAAGTTAATATTTAATATTTTCATTTCGGAAAAAATTATTGCATTATATTGATAGGAAAAACTACGAGGTATGAAGTTTTTGCATTGTATAAATTTTATGTGTTAGTGAGAGATAAAAAAATTGGGGTAGGCACCGGCGAGATTCGAACTCACGATCTCCTGTTTACTAGACAGGCGCTTTAACCAACTAAGCCACGGCGCCGTTGCAGAGGAGGGAAAAAATCATTGAATTTATACTCCGCTGCTGCACAGCCTTGTCTGCAGACCTGTGGTCGATGCTGCTACCTGGTGGCAGAAATTCAATACACTATCAAAACATTGCCATGCGAGTTGCTGATTTTAGTTTTGTTGTTGTTGGACTTGACAGTGCCTGTAAATTATAATTATTTCGTTAAATACTGGAGTTCCTAATGATGCGAACTTGATAAGTTTGCATTTTCATCGGAAAAAGTAGATACATACACACATAATAACTATTCAATAAAATAATTTTGTACACATAAAATCGTTCATTACATACCTGGAATTTTATTCAAGATTCATTGTCAGATTCATGTAGTATTATTGTAACAACTTTGCTTTCCCTTTTTTATATTTTAATTTTTTGCAATGGGTGATAATTTGAATGCAACATTTACATCATCTATCAATTTATTCAGTCTTTCACTCTGATCAAATTTTAGGCAATTTTAGGGAGTACAAAATACATAAACGGGCTTTTTATTTTGTCCACAGTCCTTGTTAAAAAATGATTTTTTTTTAAGAAGAACTAAAAATTGTCTGCACAGACAAAGCTCATTTTCACTCCATAGCCATGAACGTCTCCTCGTCACTCAAATAAAATGATTACGTTTTTTTTTTAATGTTCAATTTTCTTGTAGGATCACACTACTGGAATAAATTGTGAACTGTGCACCGCTGGCTATTTCCGTCCACCTGGAGTGTCTCGCGATGACGCGATCCCTTGCAGACCTTGCCAGTGTCACCACCTTGGGTCCCCTAGTGGACGATGTGCTTCTGTTGCCGAAGAGGGCGAGGAGCAGACTGAAGTAAAAAAATTGATTTAATAATATTTTGGGTGCTAACTTATAGTCATATTTAATATCGACAGGCTCCAGGGCAATGCGAGTGCAGGCCAGGCTTTGGAGGTCGTCACTGCGACAGGTGTGCCCCTGGCTACCGAGGATTTCCTGCCTGTCAGCCTTGCCCATGTTCGAAGGAAGGGTCAATCTTGGACTCTGAGGATTGTGAGGAGCAGTGCCATTGCAAGGTGAAAAATCTGTTTGATTAATTATTTTTATGTAAAATTATATAAACATTTAATTTGGTCATTTGTACCTATATTATATATATTTTTATTTTAATGTCAATTTCTCCAAAATTTAATTAATTACAGGAGCACGTCGAGGGTGCAAAGTGCGATCGCTGCCAGCCAGGATATTTTGGTCTGAATGCAGAGCACCCTGGAGGATGCATCCCCTGTTTCTGCTCTGGCGTTCCTGGTGCCACCTGCGTTGAAGCAAATCTAACCGTTTCACTCGGCGAACTTGGCTCCGAGGCTGGTTGGCACGTCACCGATTTGGAAAGGTCAAAAATGGTCCCTGCCTCTCGAATCGGTAAATTTCGCAAACAAATTAATTCAATTTTCATTACCGTTGGTTGATTTAGGATCGAACGGTCCTTTGAGCATTGCTGCCGACGACCTGCCCTTCAGAACTGAAGACTACTTTTGGATTGCGCCTCCACTGCAGTACTTGGCTGACATCCTTACCAGCTATGGTCAGCAGCTAAAGATGGAGCTCTCGTGGACTGCAGCCAGAGGAGACACAAGTGGCAAACCAACCCTGTGTGCAGACCTTGTCCTCATCGGAGATGGTTTGACCATCGGCCTGGACAACAACCCTTACCCTGGGACCAATGCAACCATCAATGTTGTCTTAACTGAGGATGGCTGGAGACACATGTTGCCACCGAGCAAAGGCAGGCCGGTGTCCCGAGCTGAATTCCTCCGAGTCTTGGCAGGACTGAGGCATGTCATGATCAGGGCCAAATTCCACACAGACCAAATCGAAGGACGGTCAGTTGAATACTAAATTGAAACATATAAGTGGAAAACATAAAATTGTATAAATTTACAGGCTGAACTTGGCAAGTTTGGAAAGAGGTTCGGAGGGTGGAGACGGCCAATCAGCGCGATTCATCGAAAGATGCCAGTGTCCGTATGGTTATGACGGTCTTTCATGTGAGAAGTGCCAGGAAGGTTTTCGACGAGAGAACAACACCCTCCACGAAGGCTTGTGCTTGCCTTGTGACTGCAACGGTCACTCGCCGATGTGTGATCCATTTACTGGAAAATGTGGTGTATGTTGATTAATGTCAAATTAAAAATTTTTAAAACAATTGAAATACATTTCTAGTCGTGCGAGCATAACACGGAAGGTGACACCTGCGAACGTTGCCAACCAGGGTACTATGGAGATGCTCGTTTGCGCACACCAGACGCCTGCAGAAGATGTGCTTGTCCGCTGGATTATCCTGACTCAAACAATTTCAGTCCCACTTGCGAAACTGTGCCTGGGAATCCTAATGAGTATGTGTGCACAGACTGTCCGCCAGGATTTGAGGGAACTCACTGTGAACGTTGTGCACCAGGTAATTAAGTGTAAATTTATTAACTCATTTACTGTACGAGTTTCTCATCAAACTTTAAATTTTAAGTAATTTTTAGCTTTGTTGTTTTTTTTAATTTTTTTATTGCTTTTCTAGGTTTCTGGGGTAATCCATCTCAGCCAGGGTCGACATGCCAACCTTGCCAGTGCTCTGAAATGCACTCAGGTGGACAGGGCCCCAGTTGTGATCCTTTGACCGGTCGCTGTCTCAGGTGCAGAGGCAACACTGTTGGCTGGAGATGTGAAATGTGTGCTCCTGGATATTATGGCAATCCAGAAAATGCAGATTGTCGAGGTGCGTGGAAAATTTAAATGTGTTTAAAAACTCTTTTAACTTTCAATTTAACCATAATACAAACTTTTCAACAAGTTTGAGCTTGATTATTTTTTTATTTGGTTTTTATAGTGGAATATTTTATCTATTTATTGTGTTTTACTTTTTACACACTGTTACAGCTTGCCAGTGCAATCCTGGTGGTTCGGAAGACAACACTTGCGACCCACGAAATGGCCAGTGCAAATGCACTACCCTTATCACTGGCAGAGCTTGCGATCGTTGCGAGGTATTGTCTTGATCAATAATAAAAATTTTAAAATTAAAATATTTTATTTTCTGTCACAGCCTGGAAGAGGTGACATGGCCGCAGGTTGCCCATTCTGTCGCTGCCATCCTGAAGGATCAGAGAGCAGCCAATGTGATGCCAGAACTGGACAGTGTCCGTGCAAACCAGGGGTGGGAGGCAAGAATTGTGACTCTTGCTTGCCGAACCACTTTGGACTCGGCAGGAGCGGATGCCAAAGTAAGTAGAGCCAATTAATTATCTCTGTGCGCACAAAGTTGCAATTCCAGCAAATCAATTACAGAAGCAGATGCGTGCTGATTTTTCCTTGATTTAAACAGTTATCTGTCACAATTTAAAAACCTGATTCGATTTTATTTTTAATTCGATCGAGTACACATCGTTTAAAATTTTGAAAGCTTTTCTCAAGTGGTAAATCCAGTTTATTGATTTATTGGAGTTATCTTTCTGGCAATCAATTCGCACACTATATAATATTAATCCTAAACTAATGATCGGTTACAAGCTGCCTGCAAAATGTAGGCGAATAACTTATGTGATGAAAAAAAAAATGAGAATCCAATACACATTTACTCGGTTAAGGAACAGGTTTTGCGATCAGACTCCAATTGATTGGGCTTCAGCAATGAGACAAAAAGCTTCAAACGCGCGAAAAGCGGCTTCGAATTTCATTTGTGCAAGTGAACTAACACCTGTGCGGAATTTTTTTGTTTGACTGCTGTGCGTAAAGACCGCAAAACCAAAAATCTGGCCGGCGATTCAATTACTTGCCCAACCACTGGCGTTATTGCGAACCGATTGACACCTTTTGATCAATCAAATTGACGTGAGACTCAAATTGACAATAGTAATAATTAGGGACTAGATAAAAATGAAAATTCTTAACTTCATAAATATTGCATAAGATTTTTGAATTAAAAAAAATTAAAGTAGGCCAAAGCATGTAATTATGACAGACAAAAGAAGAAAAAAATATCAGGCAGTTTTTTGGTCAAATAATTTTCTCAGTCAATTCAAAATTAAGCCACATTTTCTAAATTAATTTATAGTTATAGTGCTATTTTCAATTTCAATTAAATAAATTTTGTCTCATCACTTGCAATATGAAAATACTGCAAAATAATTACATATTTTCTGTCTAGTTTTTTATAGCTTTCTTATTTGATTTTTAGAATTGTCTTCCTTTTCCCCTTTTTTGATAACTCGCGTGAGAAATTAAATTTTCTGCGAAATTGAAATGTCGTCTCTCACGACCGGCGGCGTTGAACACAAGGCGCGTTCAATGAGCTAATATATATGCTTGTGGTCATAATTGCGGATAAATGGTGTGCGTTGTGTGTCTGGACCATCACGCGCGCGGCGTCTCTTTCTCTCCTACCGCTTCTCTGCGTTTTCTCAGCGCAGCAGTCACAACATAAAGAGTCAGATTCATTGAGAGCTCTCGCGAGTAGTCGGTCGAGAGTCAGTGAGTGGTGGAAGCGCCCGTCGAGAGGATGCGCCGCTCCGCTCGCGGCCCCGAAATGCTCTTTTTGCTCAGATCCGAGTGAGACCAAAGGTCATGAGGGTGGTCACCGTGCTCGCCGCGATTGCCCTCGCAGCGGTCGCCGCTGCCAAAGCACCGCCCAGAACCAAATTCAGGAATCCGTTGCTGGCCAGGTTTTACGACCGCCGGAAACACAGCGACTGGATCGGACTCAAATACGGTACTGAAAAATCCCCAGCGTCCGCGGGACATGTTTTTATTTATTCCATTTTCCAATTTATTAGATTATCATCTCATCTATCACTCAAACATTATAAATCATAAAAAAATTATCAGTACCAATAACTTTTTACAATTTGAGCTGTGCTTTTTTTATGAAACCCCGAAATCCTTAATTCAATTGAATTTTTTTTCTCATGACACTCAACTTTGTCAAAAGGTAAAAGAAAATAAGAAGAAATAGTAAAAAAATAATTTTTTTTAAAAATGTTAAAATTATTACAAATAATGAATTATTTAAGCCTTGTCTTCAATTCAAAATCAATTAATTTATAAATAATAAATTGTTGTGAGTAGTTCTGTATATTGGTAAATAGAAAAGAATTAAGAGATCCGCCTGGCACAAATTAGAGCTTGGCAAAGCGTGACGAGAATCTACATTACGACAGTAATTGCGTCAGACGTTTTATTGCACCTTGTTCCAACGAAAACGATACATTTCCTCAATCTCATGCAAATTATGGTGCACAGCTAAATGTCAAGTGTAAGTGGCCATACTCTTAGCAATAATTACACATAGTACGCTCTTGTATATATAGATCGACATCAAATAATTATTTCATTACCAATTACGATGATTTTCTCAGTTCTTAAATAAATTCGCTTACACCTTAACTGAAAAATCTATGATTAATTTATATCTGGATGCTTTTAAAAAATTTAAAAATAGAATTCAAATTTTAACAGTAATTAATTTGCATCATGAATATTTTAATTTTTCTAAGAACGGCAAAACTTTTTCTTCAAGAATGGTCTCAAAAATTGAGCAATTATTATTTAACAAGCAAGAGACAATTAGTGGAAGAAATTAAGCTGCGATTAGCCTCTCATCTGAAATATTTACTCTAGCGGCTATTAGACCGCAGTTATATGCCGTGTTGTGATGCTAAAGATGGGTTTAGGATCAGAGACAAGGTGTGTGGTCTCAAATTTTAAGCGCCTAGAGGTGTTCGGTTGCCGGATTTTTGTTTGCGCCTGCTGGCCAGGAGTTGGATTGCCAAGGACTTGACACTCGTCAGGCAAATGAGCCTCTTAATTCCCACTTAATTGAGCCCTTTTGGCGCTACAGGTTGATGTGTTAATTTTTCATCTATTTGTTTGCACACGCGCTGAGAACAAACATAATTTGGCAGTTCGTGGCGAGAAAAAAACCTTCTGAGAATTTATTTACGAATTCAATCGTCTCGGCGCGGAATATAATTTCTCAACAATATTATTACCTCTTCATGGAATATAATTTACTGTGTGTCTCGAGGGTAATGTTGGCGATCGTAACTTTTATGGCGGCGCGGCGGCCACGAGATGATGGAGGTCCGATCAAGGCGCCGTCTCTAATTTTATTGCACTCGCCACTCCGATCGAGCGAACCACTCGCCCGAAAATTATGCAAATTCGTGTGTAATTTGATGACAGCAAAAGTGACGCTCAGGTTGCATATCTATTTGACTGCCGCGATTTTTACGACACATTTTGATATGGAAAAAAGCGAGATGATCTTTCGAAAACGTGAATCAAGTTTTTAGATTGCCTCGAGCGAGAAGAACCAAGTCCGGCATGAAAACAAACAAACGCACCAATGTTGAATTTGAAAAATCATCCATCGATTAACTGGCTCGTGAGAAAGCAGAAAGCTGCAACTGCGCCGCCGACAATATTTCATTTCGGCTCATTTGAATGAGATGCGATGTGGTTGTTTGTCGGCCCGCGGGAGTGAAAGATGCATTTCGAGCATTTAATTTGTTCTGTGGGATATATCAAAAAGCGCGCCGACCGTTCCCGTTAACAGCGGACAGAGATGCGGCTGCACTTGTAATCGGATACATGAGCGCGGCGCATTTGTGTGAGATTACACAGCAGCAAGGCTGAAATATATTCAAAGAACATAAATTTGGAGAAATTTGTTATTATTTGTTATTTCTTTTATTAAATACCAACGGTATACAGACTCACATAAATATCAATTATTTATTTATACAATTTTATACAAACTGGAGAGGTAGGAATTGCACTAAACTTTCGTGGAAGCTGCTTTAGTTATTGTTAAGTCACTCATTTTAATCTTTTTGCATTCCAATTTGTTCACCACATCAATTTTTACATTTTTTATGAAGGTATATTTTACGTAGCTTGATTGAATTTAAATGAATTTTTTTGAAACCAAATCACGTAAACGCTTAAACCTGTTAAACTCTATACCAGAAATAATTTTTACATAATAATTTTTCTTTTAAAATTTTTATCCAGAAAATTTATTATTATTATTTATTTTTTAATCTCAAAGAGTCACGTTCACTTATCTAAATATTAACTATAATAATACTAAGTTTAAAGACTTCTAAAAATAAAAATTTATTTTTGAGCTTTATTTATGTATGTTTATTAATTTAAATCAGCACATCCAAAGACAATTTTCTGGGTTTTATTTTCTCAAAGTAGACTGATATTAAAAGCTACTTCAGCTCTTACCACGTGACACTAAGTGGATTTTATAGTATAATATAAATGCCTGTTATTTCAAGATACTTTTTTTCCAATCGACTGATTTATTGAATCAAATTTCCACTCAAAACCGCTGAGGTCGTAAATAAACAAATCTCTCGAAGTCAATTGATGGATGGATGGCCGCCTCGTTTATATGCTGAACAAATTTTTGACTTTAACGATCCTAAGTTTACAGAAACGCAGCTGTGCCGACTTGAAGATTCATTGATTCAATTTTTTCCTCCCACGCCTCGGCGGTCTTGTTCCATTCACGCACGAATCGTGAGTGCGTAGTTTGCGTCACCAAGATTTATCTGGTACAAATAGACCGCCCTACGAATGCCCCTTTATACGTTTTATCAGTCTCGGGCTGCAAACAATGTGGGCCGGCTAGAAACGATTCCTTTTTATTTCGCCGAGTATAATTTTTTATTGCTTTCCCCCAGAACAAACAAGTCATTTTCGAGGCAAATTCCTCTTCTAACAGATAAATTATCTCTCTCTCGCGAAAATGTTTGTTTTGGCCTCTCGTTTTATTCCACGCGAGGCCTCTTAATGAGACACAGTCCGGATGGCGCAGCCTCTCGGCAGGCGCCACTAGAAACACATTCCCGCATAATCTCTCTCGAAATGGGTCTGTCGAATCTCAAGGGGCTTGTATTTACGGCAGAGATTAAGTGAGCAAAATTTAAACCATCTACAGAGCCAAAGGTGGGTGAAATGGAAAAATACCATAAATTTCCAGCCGCGGCCGAGAGAGCCAACGTTCGAGGATAACATAATATTCGCAAAGTGGGCCCGCGTGTGTGCAGAAAGCAGCGCACCTTTTATGGATGCTTGAGCCATCAGCATATTAAATAATCCTTTGGCGTATTTAAGTGATTCAAGATGGGCTTCTCCTGTTTCCCCAAGCGGGCAGCACTATTAGCCGCCGCGGCGAACGTGTGTTTGGCAGATTGAGTGCCAAATCCTGTAGCTCATTTGTCACGGGCGCTTATTATTTTTTGAACGTGCAACTCTTCATTTTTTTTAACCAACAGTCCCCACGTGAATGGTAATCGATTCGTTATGGGCACGTCTCTCTTATGGCGCGTGGGCAGAAAAATGTATCGTGGCCCCTCCAATTGCTCAAATTCTCAGCTCAAAACACAATAATTTATAAATTCAGCAAAGTAATGAAAATGTAAATAGCAAAATCCAGCAATCTACCTATGAACAAACTTACTTAATTGATGACTGTATTGATTGTAAAAAATCCTTTCAGTAAAGGTTGCTAATTAATTTTTTTTCTTCGCTTTTTTCATTTGATATTTTATTCTAATATTTTATTTTTTTACCAATTTTTTGTTAGAATTTTTTTTCTTACCAAGATTTTGTTTGCTAGAATTAAGTCTGAAAAATAATGCCCGTCCAAATGAATGCGTGACTACATTGGCTACGCACCCACGCTTTTTTACTCTCCCAAAATGAGTCAGCGTTGGCGATTATTTATTGCCTCGAGACGAAACAAAAAAGCCCAGCATCTCCGCAAGTCAATTTTGTGTCTGAAGCTGAGAGCTCGTATTGAATTGCCAAGTATCAAAGATGACAGATTAACTGTTCTAGTCAAAACACTTTCCCTGTCAATTATAATGGCAATTCCTTTTCATGATTTGACTTAATTAAATCCTTCGTCACAATTTTTTAACAGGATGCAACTGTGACCAGAACGGCGCCGAGGGTCCAACTTGTGACATTGTTTCTGGACAGTGCGCTTGCAAGCAGAACGTGGTCGGACGAACTTGTAGTCAGTGCAGGGTACACAAATTCAGAAAAATAATAATAACGATGCCCTCATGCAATAAATTTGAATTAAATTTATAGCCTGGTTTCTGGGATCTGCAATCAAGGAAAGGCTGCTCTGCTTGTGACTGTGACCCGGTCGGATGCGACGGCTCGAAATGTGACATAGTGACAGGTCAATGCACTTGTCTACCAGGCGTTGGTGGGCGGCGGTGTGAAAAATGTCTCCCTGGCTATTTTGGTTTCTCAAGGCAAGGGTGCAGAGGTGAATATTTGTACCTTTTTATTTTGTTTTTATTTATATATTTTTTTTTATTTTTTACTTGTAAAATTTTTAACTTTCAACTTGGTAAAACTTATTTCAGAATGTGAACCGTGCAACAAACCTGGACACATTTGTGATCCAGACACTGGCAGGTGTGTGTGTCCCTTGATGTCAGAAGGTGCTGCTTGCGAAAGGTGTAAAAACGGAGCGTGGGGCCACCAGCATGGAGTTGGATGCAAGGTTTGCACTTAGAATAACACAGTGATTAAACAGAAATTATTATTAAAAAAAAACTTCTAGGTGTGTGGATGTCACCTCACAGGAGCAGCAACACCCCAGTGTGATCACAGAACAGGAATGTGCACATGCAGACCTGGATTTGGTGGCAGCAAGTGTGACAAGTGCCTCCCTGGACACTACGGTTTTCCGCGGTGCAGAGCTTGTGATTGCAATCCTCCTGGCACAAAGAAAGACTCATGTCCGTTTGGGCAGCCTTGTGGATGTGATGAAACTGGACAGTGCAACTGCAAGGTTTGTTTGCTTTGTTGCCTCGAAAGTCTAGCTTGAAATATTATTTACATTCATTTGGCTTTAATTAGGGCAACACTGTTGGAAAAAGATGCGAACTTTGCAAGAGAGGAACCTTCAGCATGCACGACGACAACCCCGAAGGCTGCACTCCTTGTTATTGCTACGGTCGTTCAGCTCACTGTGAGCAAGCCCAGTTAGTTTGGACCCAGGTTTGTTTGTTGTCTTGGCTTCTTGAATTTAGTTTTTCTTATATTCCTTTTATTTTAGATAAGAATGTTGTCATGGCGATCAGTTAGTATCCAATACGATTCTCCTCAGCCGCAATTCCGACCTGGAGCACCAGTTGCTCCAGTAAATACTCAAGAAATTTGCTTCATCAATGTAATAAATTATTAAACTTTATTATATTTCTTTTTTTTAATAAATTCTTTTATAGCTAGCAGTTCCTGGAGTACCAGAAACTAATATCACAAATACGGATGGTACGTCTGTAAAATTGAATGTTACAAACAACTTGAGAATCATCCCTGGAGACGTGGGAAATGTGAGAATAGGAGTCAGCTATTTATTTGACACTCCCTTGTACTGGCAGTTGCCCAGTACCTTCTTCGGAGACAAGGTGAAAATTTAAATTTATCTATAATATAATAACTTTTTTAATAATTTGTGTCTATTCAGGTTCTTTCTTATAACGGCTATTTGAGATTTACTGTGACTTCAGTTGGGGGCCGAACACTCTTGCCGGCCAATATTTTGAGTTCCTACCCACTGGTTCAAATCCAGGGAAATAACAGAATTGTCCTGGAATACTTTTCCCCTCAGCCAAGTGTTACTGGCCAATACCAAGTGCGCTTCCATGAGTCTTACTGGAGAGCCAAACATAGTCCATCCTCTGGGCCTGTCACAAGAGAAATCATGATGTTAGCCCTTCAGAACATCCAACATATTCTCATCAGAGCCTCTGATTCTGTAGACTTTGAACGTGTCGAGTAAGAGATATTTCATTTTGCTGGTATTTCAATTAAAAGTTTTATGACCCAGATTGAGAGAAGTTTCTCTGGACCATGCAAGTGCCCCAAGAGAACCCAGTGAGCAAATTCCGTCTTGGCAACTGGCCAGGGGAATTGAAAAGTGTGACTGTCCCAGGGAGTACCGAGCCACTTCCTGCCAAAATCCAGCAATTGGTTTTTACCGGTGGCACCCTCCTAGTAGCAACGCTGACAGCACTATCATTATTCAACTCATAGGCGAAGCAAGACCTTGCTCTTGCAACTCGAGATCAGCAACATGTGACTCAGAAACTGGAAAATGCAAGGCAAGCAACTTGAATAAAATTTATTTTTCACAAACTTATAACTTATATTTCAATTCAAGGACTGCACAAACAACACAGAGGGTGTTGCTTGTGATCGATGTGCTGCTGGATACTATGGAAATCCCAAACAGGCTCCATGCAAGGCATGTCCTTGCCCAAACCCACAAAATAATAGGGCAGTAAGTTGTGTCGTGGAAAGAGATGTTAGATGCAGATGTCAAAAGGGTTATTCTGGACCAAGATGCGAGAGGTAAAATATCATTATCTTTCATTTTCAAATTTTAGTTTTTTTGTTAATAGATGTTCATATGGCTTCTTTGGCTTTCCAACAATGCCGGGTGGCTCCTGCAAGCCATGTAATTGTGACCCTCGAGGCAGTGTTAGTGACGAGTGCCATGAGCAAACTGGGCAGTGTAACTGCAGACCTGGTGTTGGTGGCAGAGACTGCACAGAATGTCCTCGAGGACACATTTTGGGCCAGCGAGGATGCACAAGTGAGTTTGATTAAGTTTTGATGTATAAGTACTAAATTTGAAACCATCAGCATGTGCTGGTGATTGCACTGGACCGCTGCTGCAAGAAGTTGCAACCATGTCTACACAAGTGGATAGACTTGAACAGTCTGGCCTGACGCCGATTCCATGGGAACGTTTGCGCACAATCGAAACAGACGTAACTGGTCGGTTCAGACACAATTTTGAGCGCTGGAAGAGAATTATTACAACTCCTCTGCCTTTTACTGAAGTTGAAAATTTGAGAAGAAACTCTAGGCAAAGTGCAGTTAAGGTAATTTTAATAAAGGCATAATACAGCTGTTCATAATTTTTTCTAAATTTACTTTTTAATGCAGGCAAGAAGGAGAAAAGAAGAAAGTCAAAAATTTGTGGCAGATTCAGGAAAATTAGCTGAGGATGCCCAGAAAATGCTTGACGACATACATGAAATGCAGGCTGATTCAGCAGGTATTATATTTTTAATATGTTTTTGCATCAATTATATTTTTTTGTAATTTTTGTCTAGTTGTCGTCGAAGATTTAAAAAGCTACGGGCGCCAGAGTGAATCATTGTCTGTGAATGTGGTTTCCACTTTGCGAGAGGCTGGTCTGCTTTTAGATAGAATTTCATCTGTAAAGTTGGTCAAACATCGAAAGCTTGCAGAGCACTCCTTAAAGTGAGTGGATTAATTTTTTCAAGTGCAGCACGCAAGTAAGGCTTTGATTTTTAGGAGAGCCAAAGATCAATTAGATGGACTGAATATGTTGATTAAAGAAGAGAGCATCACTGTATCTCTAGATGGGCTGCAAAAGGACATCAGGGACCTGGTCACTAGAATTGCCGATCTGAACAAACACATTCAAGCGGCTGATGAAAATTTTGACGATGTAAGTTAAATGTCTCATTATGATTTTTGCCAGAAGTCATGATTAAAATGATTTAGGTGTTGAAGAATAATAAGTATGCAGTGGCTAGCTATGAAAAAGTGGTAGAAATCAACCCCAAAATAGAAGCTTTAAGCGAAAAGGAAAAATCCGCATCAAAGCAAAGAAACGTTTTCATCAATGAAGCTTCGCAATATCTTGATGAAGCTAAGGAAAACTTTCAGGTTTGAAATTAACTATCTTCAGTAACGATAATATTACTTTTACTCTACAGGAATTGTCTACAATGATTGGAAAGCTGAGAAAATCAACAGACAAACTTGAAGAGAGAAGCTTGGGTTTGGCTGGTAACACTCGTCTTGACAGTGAATTTGTGAGGCCGGCAAAGGAGCATGCTCGTAGACTGCTCCAACAAGCAAATGCATTGAATAAGTAAAATTATTTGCTCTTAATCTTGCTTTAAAATTAATTTATATCAATTATAGTCAATTCAATGCAACTCGAGACTTTGCTAGTTTTGCTGTTAAGGCTGCTCAAGCATACCAAAGCATTGTGAATGCTATAGACAGCGCCTGGGAATCTTCAAAAGAGGCAAAGTTGGTTGCTGACAGAGCAAAGGAGCAGGTGAGAGTTTATTTTATTCACATTTTGTTAAAGCATGCGGGCAGTTGGACCTGGACCATGTTAGGAATAACTAGGTGCTTGTAAAAGCTCTGCAGCATATATTCCTTTAGAGAGTCAATGATTTTATGGAAGAATGGCATCGACCAAGTCCCCCAATAAACACTGCCGGTCAGACTAACCTTGGTGCCAGACCTGAAGCCGACCCAGGCCATATCAGCTGGTGGGTGTGGAATATTCATGGCCAGCACACCTTTGAGCGACTCCAGACTGATGACTATGTAAATGGTTGTGTTCTCCAAAACTCGTTTCACAAACGAGTACTGCGTCAGATTGTGTAGCCGTTCCATCCAGAAAGTCTCGGGCCCGTTGTCATCCAATTCTTGAAAATTCAATTTGACCTTCACTGTCACTTTGATGGCTCCGTCAAACTTGACGCACATTTCCTCCCATAGCCCATACTCGTTCTCGTACCGGGGCGCAACCCCTGTCACTCGAGGAGTGCTCATGCCGGAGATGTCCACCTTTTCCAGGGAAGTTTGCATAATCGAGTCAAACTGATTTTGCCAAGGCATGCTGCCCAGCAATTCCTCCACTTGTTTAGTAAGCATCGAAGTTATGAGCGTCTTGACTTTGGCATCGTTGACGGTGCGTTCGATCATACCGTTTAGCCAAACGCTTTTTGTCTTGCGGTCTATGTACACTGGCACTGGCTCTGCTAAAGGTCGCCCAGCTATTATAGACATAATTGGGTCCGGGTCATTCTCAATGAAATCTTTCTTCTCCGCAGCCAGCTTCAACCACCTTGTCCAAGCTTCCTTGTCTCGGTTTGAACGGGCAAAGAGGATGAGCTGCTTTTGATTTTGAAGACTGTCTTCAGTCGCAAAAGCATTGTCGTAATGATTTTCTCCTTTGAAACTTCCAGCTTTCAAATTAATAGCAATTGGATGCTTCATCAGCCATTTGTGTTTCTGCGATAGGTCTTCAGGCAGGAGCAGCACCTAGAAATTCTCAATTTAATGATATTTTCTCTGTATTATTATTATTTATTGTTATTACTTCACTCTTGTAAATGCTGAAAGTACTCCTGCCTTTAAATGTCAGCTCAGGTGGTTCCTCGTCGAACATTTCTCTTTTGGCCACCTCTTTGTGTGCTTGGTAGATGTCAAGTCTGCAGCCCTTCAATGTGATAAATACTGTCTTGGCTTCCTGATCTCCATGCTGGTATTCACAGTCCGACAGCAAAAGCCTCAAGATTCCGGACGCCTCTTCCCATTCACCACCCTTTGTCTGCACTGGTCTTATTGTGCTTCGCCGATGTAGATTTTCTGAGCTGCTACTCAGCGTTTTGTACAAATAGACTGCCGCACAAGATGCCGCCACAGCAACTGCACCGTAGCGGATGAGGCTTGTGATCCGAGAGCTTTCTGATTCCATATATGTAGACTTTAGAATTTTTAGTATTTTGTACCAAAAATTACTTAAAATGCAAAAAACCTACAATGAAATTTTTAGTATTGTTGCAATAATTAAATTTTTACTCTATATCCAGGTCCATCCAACCGGGCGCCAAGGAGGAGAAGATGCTCTTTCTGTTCAAGCCAAAAACTCTAGAGAGTTTTCAGAACAACTGAACGAAGATGCCCAAGCAGCTGTCAAGCACGTTGGGCTTTTGCGCAGAAAATTTGAGACTCAGAAAAATGATGTGCAAAAGTTAGAGCTAAAAATTGACGGAACAAGCAAAAAACATGCAGTTTTACTTTCTGATCTTGGTTCTTTTAAGTCTCAAAGTAATTAATTTTATTTCAAGATTTGTACTGGAATATTTTATTAATTATTTTAACTTGCAGTCACCCCTGTAATTATTGATGCTCTTGATAAAACAATGGCATCAGAGACTGAAATTGGAGAGGTTGTGAAAGAAACAAATAGGCTTAGCAAAAACATTGATCACAACTTACGTCCTCTGCTTGAGAGAATTTCTTCTGGAACAACTCAAGACATGCAGGATGCCGTTAAAGAAAGTAATTATTATTTAATATTTTAAAGCTCTCAAAATAATTTATTTGAATTAAAATAAGTCGAGCAAGCCCGGAGCAACATTCGAGAGACGGACACTTTGCTGAATACATTAAAAAAAGAGGCATCGCAACACAACTCGAGGCTATCACAGTGGAATGATACTCTTTCGTCTCAGCTACAAGGACTGAGAGACAAGATTGCTCAAGCCAGACACGCAGCAAGCGGAGTAATATTTACTAACAAATTATTAATTCATGATTCTACTTTCCATTCTTTAATTTAGATCCGTCTTTCACTGGGGAGTGTCAAAGGGAAGACTTGTCTCCGGTCGTACAAAACAAATACAGATCCTTCGGCGACCAACAAAATTGTTGTTACTTTTGCCAACTCAAAATCAGGTTTGCTAAACTTTATAAATTTAAATAAAAATTTAATATAGCATGCATAACTTTTTAGGTGATGGTCTGATCTTCATTTTGCGTTCTGATCCATCCACCAGCAAAGATTTCATGGCACTTGAAGTTCGAGACAAAAGACTTCGCTTTACTTGGGACTTGGGTGGAGGTGCCAGTCACGTCACTCACCCACTTCCTATCAGGCACTCTAGCAATCTTGCCAATGACAGCAGCTGGTACAGGGCTGAAATTGAGCGTACAGGGAACTTGGTACATATGAATGTGCGTCATGTTATTTCATCCAAGTGGGGCGATCCTGTGCTGAATTCGTCTCAAGCAACCTTCACCCGAATGGATGCTGGACCTAGTGCCCTCCTCTGGCTAGGTGGCTATGATGGACCTGACGGGTATTTTACAGTTTTTTTTTCACATCAAGATAATTGTGAAACTGAATTGGGCAATTTTATTTTAGATCAATGCCTAAAGGAATCTCGACCAACCACATGCCAGGCTGCATCCACCAAGTGTGGCTTGATGGAAAACCACTTGGTTTGTGGGATTTCCACTCCAGCTCTGGACCTGATTCATGCACAGCGTGCATTGAAGGTCCTGAAGAGTTACGAGAGGAGGAAGCATACTCATTCCATGGTGATGGCTACTCGGTTCTTCACCATGACAGCTCCATTACGTACAACCCCTACCAATTCAGTGTTGTGCTGACGTTCAAATCATATGATGAAGACGCCCTTCTCTTTTTGGCCATCAATCCCAAGAGGGTAAATTTTATTTTCTAATTTTTGGATTAAATTTTTACTTAATACATGTTTTTTTTCTATTTAAGGACCGCTTTGTTACTTTGTCTCTTAGAAGTGGAAGAGTCCACTTTAGAGTAGACTATGGTGGAGCAGCTAGATTAGAGCTTTCCACAATTCAGAAGTACAACACAGGAGAGTGGGTGCGAGTTGACGCTGCTCGGCATTTTGACCGGAAGAAACGACTCGAAAGGGGTAATTAATTTAATCAATTTACTCATCTTGTATCTTGACCAAAAATATCTGCAGGCCTTTTAAGAGTTGGAGATGAAGAGCACAGTGGGGCACCATCACCTCCGCCTGGAGCAGGGTCTTTGCCAGATTTGGTCGAAGGAGAATACATTGTGGGAGGTGCGCCTCCTGGATTCTTATCTCCTTCTTCCATTCCACCTCCAGAACTTAGATCCTTCAGAGGCTGCATGTCTGATTTGCAAGTTGTTGACCAAGGCTACAATCTTCTCCGTGGAGCTTATTACTCAGTCGAACCAGGGTGTCTTCCAGAGGTAAAATACTTACACTTGCATTCTTTTATATACTCAATCATATTTCTTTAGCCGGTCAAGGTAGTGAGTTTCCTGGGAGATGGCTTCTTGGAGTTAAATAGCCAACCTCTGAGCAGAAAATCGTCAATAGGTCTTGTGTTTGCCACAACACAGCCAGACGCTTTGTTGCTCTTTTCAGAGCCGCACCACGTTGAGGTAGATTTTGATTGAATTTAATTTTCTTTTCACTTGATTTAATTAAATTTTTAGTCAGGACAATCAACTTTCTACTCAGTTTCTTTGCATAAGGGCCAACTTCATGTTAGAGTTGGTGGTGGAAAAGCAATAACCACAGTTCGATCAGGGACCTTTTTCAATGACGGCAAGCCTCATTCCGTGTCAGTTGTTAAAACCAACAGAAGGTTGTATTAAAATTTGTTTAAAAATATGAACTTAAAATTCTTTTTAGGCTTGAACTATTTATTGACGATAAGAGTATAAGTGCTGGAAAACTGCCGGAAGGATCGTACCCAGAAATTAAGGCCCCTAAAAAGGGAGGTCTATTTATAGGTGGCTTGCCAGCACATTACAGACACAATGCAACAGGCTTGGCTGCTTCTTTGGAGCCGCTCAATGGTTTTATCAAGGATGTTGTGATTGGAAACAAGTAACGTACTTTGATATTTAAATGATGCCTTTTATTAACTTTTTTCTTTCAACAGCTTAATCAGCATGCAACCTCCGGTCAGCTTCTTAAAAGCAGGCATAGGTCGGCCCAGTTTGCCAGCGCCCAGTCCAACCACCGTGGTTTCGACATACAGTAATGGTGCCAGGAGTATCCCAGATCCACGGTTTGTTGGACCCACACATTGTGAGCCCAGTAGATCTTACTCCGTTGAGCCAGGCGCAGTCAAGTTTGGAGACAAGCCCAATAGCCACGTTACATTGCAAAAACTTTGGCTGAGGAATGGCTTACCCAAAAATTTCTCAATTCAATTTGACTTCAGGACTCACTATCCAAATGGGCTGTTCTTCCTTTTCCCAGTAAGAAAATATTTAGAAAGAAGCCAGATAAAGAAACTATATTATATATTAATTGTGTATTTTAGGCTATTCGTCCAAAGCAAAACCACTTTTTCATGTTGGCACTGAAAAACAGCCACCTCGAAATCACTTTCGCAAATCCAAAGAAGGAGCAAAAAATTAGAACTCATACTGCATTAAATGATGGAAAATGGCACCAGGTAACCACTTTTTTATTTTCTTATTATTATAGCCTGTATGTAAAAATGTATTCCTTATAGGTTGAAATGCACAAGCACGACCAAAGGGTGACTGTTTTGATTGATGGCATTGAAGTTGAACGCAGGAAAGTTCCAAAGAGGCTTAATATTTTAAGCACAGCCTATGTAGGTGGCTTACCTGAGACTAATTCTGGTGGAATTATTTCCTTTCAACAAGTAAATTACCAAAAATCTGCAGACAATATTTTATCATTTTAATTATAGACCACTGAGGGATTCAAAGGTTGTATGCGCAATGTGAGAGTGAATAGCAAACCTCAGGATCTTGTCGGACCTCGCGGGTCTAGTCACAATGTTGGGCAGTGCTTCCCTAGAGTGGAGACTGGCTCCTTTTTCCCTGGTGATGCTTTTGCTGTATACCGTAAGTTGTAAAGTAATATTTTATTATTACAAACTAACCTATCAAATTAAATAGAGAACATGTTCCACGTCGGGTCAATGTTCGAACTGGAGTTGGAGTTCCGCACTTCAGAACTGAATGGCGTTTTGCTCTCTGTGTCGGAGCCGCTAGGATTCCCTGCTCTATCTCTAGAGATTCTTGATGGACAGGTTAAAGTCATGAATTTGAAGATATGACTTTGTTTTTTAACTGTAATTTTGCAATCAGGTTGTTCTGTCCGGTGACATAGGAAATAGAAAGCCATTCCGTGTGCAGCAGACGTTTACCTCAAAGTACACAACTTGTGATAACAAATGGCACCACATACAAGCCTTCTACATAAACGACTCGTTGCTTTTGAGGGTGGACCAGCAAACAGCAAATTACGGCCACTCGATCAACGGAGGCCTCAAGGTGGCGGCCACTAACAGCTCCTTGTACATTGGAGGCTTGCCAGGTACAATACTTTCAGAAAATAAAATGTTTGCAATTTTTAATGTAATGTCCTCTTTGCAGATAATGCACCATACGGCACTTTGCAAACAAGGGATAACTTCAAGGGCTGTATTCGAAACATGGCCATCAACGGAGAACGACGTGACTGGACGGACATGGCCGCACTGCACAATGTCCTTCTGAACGCCTGTCCTCTTTCCACGTATTGACAATAAAGTTGTAACTCATAATTTTTGTAAAACGGTCGTTACGCATCCAACGTACAAACTCTTGCATAATGTAAATTTCATTTGTAAGACAGGTCTTCAAGTTGTGCCATTTTTGGGAAAAAAAAAAAAAAAACAGGAAATAGCCTGTTGAGTTGTTGACATGGACCGTCACAGTATTAACAATAAATAAAACAAAGTAATCCGTCCTTATTCACAGAAGCTGTTCTTGACCGGTAACAACTCTTAATTTAAAACTAACTTTTAAAAAATTAATGCAGTAGGATTACTTTCTCTTGAAGTGTAAAGTTCGTAAATTGACTAATTTAACTGCGAGGGCTCTTGAATGGAATAATTCAACAGATTGTGTTCTTACGATTGATAGAGGCTGTGAAATGCACAAAACAATTTCATCGTGTGTAGTTGATTCAAGATCCATTTTCACTTTACTAATTTTTGGAACATTACAAAATTTAAAATATTTTGAGGATTCTCTGAATGCCTATTAATTCTTCTGTATTTTTGTAACTTATTGTTTTAAGTTTGTTTAACAACTGTTTAATATGAAGTGCAATATATATAAATTGTGTAACATTTTAATAATTTTTTTGCATTTTATTACGTTTTATTGTAATAATTAAACCCGTCCTTGAATAATTAGTACCGCTTTATTGAATTAATGAGTATAATTACCAAAATACATAGCAACATTTATGCCTTAAGCAATCCAGATTTAGTTATTACAAATTTACCAGCAGGAAATCTACCTTAAATCCCAAAGCTCTCCGTTTTACTTTCGTCAGACAAAATCACAGGATATGAAGGTGATACACTGAATAAAAAATACATTTTTCGATCTACCTGTGACTAACGAAGATTATTTCATTGCCGTTAGAATTCAGCCTTAGAACATTCAATTAACAACTGTATCGATTGTTTGAATTAAAATTAAAATGACACACAAACCTTATGGATTTAGATAAAATTGAAGCTTACTCAATTGATCAATTAAACACGCAAAGTCAAAAGAAAAAGAAATACAAATAATTAGAAAATTAGTATCGGTTGATGCCGAACAATCTTACTTCGTGGAATTGGGGCAATTTTGGCAGGAGGACAAACATCAGTGACACAAAATTTATGATGAAATGAACATTATCATATTTTGTGTAGAAAGTAGTAAGTAGGAACCTGGAATCAAAAGATAATCATTATTTGAAAAGCGTTCATACATATTAATATACAAAATTAACTATAGCTATAGTAATATAATTTTGTTAACGTTAATTATTAATAATATCTGCTTGCAATTAAAAATGATGCGTTGTATACTTTACAATAATTAAATTGTAATTTTCTCAACTTACATAATTACAGGTGCACTTGTCAGAAACTTCCTGGTAGATGTGAATTGCATGCCACTATCAATTTGCTCCCACTGCGTCAATTCACGGCTCCTCCCTTGATCCTGCGTGTCCCATATGCTGCCTTTCAAAATGTGCAGAAAAACAAAATGAAACTGCAAGAACATAGAAACATTAATAAATTACAAAATAACTATAACAAAAAATGCGTAGAGGATCCTACAAGATTATGGAGAAGGTTGGTCAGTGTCCACGCAGTGGATGTAGTGAGGACAGGAATGCTGAGCAAAGTAAGATGCAAAACCAAAAACCCAATGCCGTAACTCAGCCACAGGCCCCTGTTGTCCAACCAGTTCGCATTAGGGTTGCTGTATCCGTGACCTCCGACCAACATTCTGCTGAGAAAAATTATTTAGTTTGTATTATTTTAAAATTAATCTTTATGCACAAAAAAAATTTATCAAACGTAATTACATAACATAAATTTAGACAGATTTAATTGGAAAAAATACAATAATTTCATCTTACGTGGATCATGAAAAGAATCTGATCAAAACAATAAAGAGATGCTTTCGGCGTTCTCTGATCTGTGTCTGATTTGACTAATGCTATTGCGAAAATTCCTTGTCTCTTCGTCCCCAGTTGATGATAATGAGGTCTGCGAATACGAAGAGAATAATATAAAACACGGCAAGCGACAAGTGATTGAGTGTTGATTGACAACAACAAAACGAAAACAGCTGTTTCAAATGTCGGTTAAATTGGTTACAAATGTAGTCGGTTAAATATTTCTCTTTACATTTAAACTTCAGAAAAAAGCATTTAAAATGACTGTACAAAATGTTAATTTTAAATAATTTTTATTGAATTAGCGATAAAAAGCATTTAAAACTCAATATAAGCATTTTTTAATAGAACTTCACTTTATAAACCGGTGAATAAGTTGTTTCAGTAAAATACCGCGAAGCGAGACTGCAGCGCCACTATTGTCGTCAATAAATTAACAAAAATAAAATTCATGCGAGAAAGTTGACGGTGACGCCTACTTTTACTGCTTATAAACACCAGTTTTTGCATATATTTCCAAATTTTTCATCGTTGTATGGTAGTGGAAAAAAATACTTAATATATCGTGAGTAAATTAAGCCGATTTTTCGTCGTATAAACGCCTGGCCAGAGGAGAAATCGCCACGTCTCGTTCTTACTTGTGAAAGTCGTGCTCGTCTTTCTCGCCTCTTTCACTTCGACCTCAATATCGCAGACACGCTCTCGGCAGGTGAAATGACCACCACTGGTAAGTATGACTAAATTTTCAATCTGGCCCGGTAAGAAACCGGGAATCTATCAAATTTTGGTCTTATTTTAGTCGTTTGATGGACAAATTAAATTTCTAGGGGAGAAAGTGGATCCAAACAATCAGCTGTATAACTTGACTTGGGGCGACTTCAGCTCGTCCCTGGCCAGTTCTATTCAGCAATTTCGCACTCAGGGTGACCTCGTGGATGTTACCCTCTCAGCCGGAGGCCGCAGTTTCCCTGCACACAAAATCGTGCTCTCCGCTGCTAGTCCATTCCTTCTTGATCTCCTAAAGGTTTGTTTGTGAATTTTTAATACACAAGTTTTATTTATATTGTGTCTTAACTTTTACCATTCACTCATAACCTACATTTTTTCCGCAGAATGCTTCATGCAATCATCCAATTCTTGTCTTAGCTGGTGTCAGCCCCAAAGATATGGAGGCCCTGCTCGAGTTCATTTATCACGGGGAGGTGAGCGTTGACCCTGACCACCTTCCATCTCTGCTACAGGCCGCCCAGTGCCTCAGCATCCAAGGACTAGCACCAGGAGCTCTGCATCCAGATGTGAACGACTTTCCTTGTCCTGCTAATTATTACTAATTTCCCGTTATTGCAGATTAAGTTTGAGGAAACAAATCAGTTCATTTCAAAGGATGCCATTAATATGCTATTTGCTTCTAAATCTAAGAAGAAGAGCAAGAGGAAGTCCAATGACTGTTAGTATTTTTTACTGTAGATTAAAACAAACGAATGAAGTATTTAATAATCCAAATCAAAAATTATGCATATTTTATCCAAGTAAGATTTTTTTTAATCATTTACAATATCCAAATTTTCTGTGTACAAGATTTTAAATTAAAACTCTGCCAGCTATGAACTTTTTTTAATTTTTAAATTCAGGATGATTAATATTTTATGTTAAAAAAATTTAAAACAAAATAATGCTGTAAACTTAAGTTGTGCTCAATTGGCCGTTTAAATTATTATTTTTGTTTTACAATTGCAGCCCAATCAGGACATGGGCATAAGAAAAAGCGATCTTCCGATGCTGAGAATTCAACTGCCCACAATGTAGCTTGCAACCAAATAGCTTTCAACAGTGAGAATTCTTCTGACGAAACAAGCAGCGGTTAGAAAAGTGATTAGGATTCTAGAAAATTAATCAATCCTCTCTTTTAGTTTCAGGAGGTTCAAAAATAAGAGGGGCGTCCGACCAACCGACCTCATGCCCTTTCTGTGGTGCAACCCTTCGTCAGGCACGCAATCTCCGCCGACACCTGGAAATGCTCCATTTCGGAGTGGGCAAAGTTCCAGCAAACATCGAACTTGGGGAATCACAGTCATCCAACTCTCCGGCTCCTCTTTCTTCGGACAGCAGCTCAACTCTGGTTGTCCTTCCCTCAGCTCTTTGCCAACCTGTTATGGAGGCAGCCGAACCACCCCCACTGCCTCCTCCGCCTGTGACAAGCTTGGTACCTGATGTTTCTGCTTGCTTGCAGCCAGCATCAACTGTGGCAAGCAGTTTTTTCAGTTACTCCCATCCTGAAAGTTTGATTGACCCCCATCCGAGTGCGTTCAGAGGAGTTGGAATCATCCCTCGCCCCGACCCAGGCAGCCATTCTGAAGTATAGGGATGGGGGGCCATGTGGTTACTGGCCGGGGTCATCAAGAGGGCGTGGGAGTTAGTTCTTCACACGCACCGCAGTGACAAAAATTACTGCTGACTACTGAAGTGTTAATTTTTATGAATAAATAAATGGATTCTGTGTGGAGCCGAAAAGGGTGGACAGTGATCAATACTCAATATTTGTGTGTACAATTTTCTGTATTATATGTAGTTACATTATTTATTAAATTTTCTCTCTGTAGGAGATACTATAATATATTTATTGAAAAATAGCGTGTAAGACTCCATCATAAGTCTTAATTAATGTAGAATGATTACTACAATAAAATTTTTTTTAACAAGATGTGAATTTAATTTTGTTAGATGAAAAGGAAAATAATTTCAGGAAATGAAAATTTTGAATTTAAACAGTTCCATTTTTGGTATTTTATTTTTTATTAACTAATTTGTCCAGGGAAACCTAGAATGTAGCGAATCTGTTGGTGGGCCATCGTACTCTTCCACTTCGTTGATTCTGCCCCAGCCTAGTCGATCTCTTTTGACTTTGTCCTGCAACCAAGATGGCATGCTTCTGGGCAGAGGCTCAGCATTAGGGAATCTCAACTTCGGCTTTGGTCTGCTGAAAGGATTTTCATTCTCCAGTCTCTGCAGCAGATAGTCCCTGTTGATGTCCTTTGGGTCTCGGTACTTGTCCAGATATCTTTAAAAGCATTATTAGCATTATTAATCTGGAGTTACTTTTATTTTGCCAACTTACATATTGAAAGGCTCTTTCACTGGAAAATATGTTTGCTCGGAGTAATACGGTGGAGCAAAATCATACTCGTAAATAGGTTCCTTGGTACCTACTCTTTTGATTATTAAAAATATAATTAATTCCAGATTGATTTGTTACCTAATTTTGTGTGGAAGAATTCGGTAACACTGACATCCCAGTCAGACTGGAAAAATGCAAGGCCAGCTGGAGTGATTAGGTTCTGTCTTTCACGGTAGAAATTGTATGTACTAAATGTCCGATCTTCCAGATTCACACTACAGCAAACAATTAAATGCAAAATATTAAAATCTACCTATTAAAAATGCGTTAACCTTTACCCAGAATTTTCTTTCTTCAGTTTAGAGTAATCTAGCTTATTTTCTTGCTTGTAAAGAACAAAGACCATTCTTTGAAATCCAATGCCTTTCATAGGGAAAGGTTGCAGATAGTCGAAGATGACTTCGCCCTTTGAAACATCAGATCCAGGAATGTTGCCACTGACGAAGGGAAAAATTAGGACTTTAATTTAGATTTTAATTGTTTTTTACATCATCCAGTGAACATATTCGCTTTCATCTTTCGTTAAGTGGCCATCAGGGTTAGTCAGCACAAGGGTCCAAAATGTCTCTGGGTCACTCTCGTACAGAACAACTGGCTCTTGGATAACCTTTAGGAATTAAAGATTCATTTTTATGTAAAATTATTTTCCATATAAACGGTACCTCTTTGGGCTTCAGCTGGTTTCCGTAAAAAACGGGTGCATATATGTCATCTCCCTGATGATAAGCCACATCCAAAGACACCCTGGGAAAGAAGTACGCATCTCCAAACAAATGTTGAAACACGCCGTAGTGCTCTGCGATTTCCTTTATGTGCTGAGGCCCCTTGCCCTTCAGCCATTCTTTTTGCACTTCTTCAACAGGAACTTCCACTGAAAAAGAATTTAAGAGATTCTAATTAATAGTACAAATTTATTGAATTTGATTACTTACATTCCCCATAGCGTGACAATTTTTCAAAATTCTTGTCAGCCCTGAGTGTTTTCTGCTGAGCTAATCTTTCTGATGTCACATCTTTCCTCTTTCGAAAAGGTTCTCTAGGCAGTCCAATGTCAACTTTGTAGTAAAGGGTTGGGTCTACGTAGTTCCTCTCTGAAAAAAAATATTTTCTAATTAAAAAAAAAATGGTTAATAAAAAAATATTTCGTAAAAATAAAAATCGCATTAAAAAATAAAATTGAAAAACGCGAGCAATAAATTTATATTTGATTATTGAGTGAGCACCGGCACAATTTGGATTTATAGCATAGCCGCGGGCGTTTAGCTTTGCTGAATAAAACAGCGACCCAGTGCCACACACCATCGCTGGGAGTTGTGGCGTGCTCCTGTAATCCGGCTACTCGGAGGCTAAGCGTTGAGGATGCTTTGAGGGCGGGAGCTCTGCTGCCTAGTGGCCTATGTAGACTGGGCGTCCACACTAAGCCTGGCATCAACATGGAAACCTTGGAGGAATCTGAGGCTTGCAGGTTGGCTAAGGAAGGGTGTACAGGGCCAGGGGGGAAACCCAGCAGCCAAAAGCCCTCGTGTTGGGCAGTAGTGGGATCGCGCCCGGGAGTAGGTGCTTTGTGGCAGCCCGTCCAATACAAGCAGACCGGTGCTTTTTGATTATCAATTTTTTTATAAATAATAAATTTAAATTGAACTTATTTTTACATTTTTTTTTGTTCGGGAAGAATTAAAAACGCAGATAAATGAAATTTTTGATTGAGCTATTTATTCGTAAAATCATCGATCATTTTAATATTTCTCAATGCTCGCTCTCATCGAAAGAAAATGAACAAAATAAATATAAAAAATTGCGGCAGAAATTTTTTTGCAACAGATTTGACTAAAATAAACTCACCTTTCATTTCTTCCTCGAGAGTTTTCCCAAAAGCTGGCAAGTTCAGGTCCTCGTTGACCGCAATGAATCTGTTCCTAACAAAACTTCCCACGGGCCGAAAAGTTGCGACTCGCCGCAGCACACTGAAGGCCATTTTCACTCACTTTTCTCTCGCGATTCCAAACCAGTGCAATAAAAAAAATTAAAAGAGTGGAGAATCGGAATTCTGACTAGTTCTCTGTTGGCTTTCACTTAAAGTCGGATATTTCGTTATAAAAATTAGCAATTATTTTAAGACAAAATCATTAAATTCAATGTTCCTCTCGTCGGACGTCGGAGAGAATGTGGGCGTGACAACGCGAAGCCCTCTAGGGTCTGAAAAGCGCACTGCTTATTTTTAGCACATTTTAGCGGGTTGTTGCTGTGGCCTATTTTGTATAACGTACAATCAGTATTGTGGACAAATTAATACAATTTTATTGATATCATTATTTCTACAACGAAAAAACCGCTAAAAGGGATTTTAAAACACAAAAATAATTTTTTGAATAATTGATTTTAATGATTTTTTTCCATTTTTTCGGATTTTTTTTCTTTTTGAGACAGGCTAACACAAACACAAGTCTTGTCGGTCTGTGCCCTTTTTAGTGGCGTTGAAAATCACCATTTTCTTTTATTTATTATTATGTATTTTTGGAATTGATAAAATATATTATTTAATCTCAGTAATCTCAATTAAAAGATAACATTGGAAATGAAGCGATCGGGCTTTTCCTCGTTGCAGAAAAATTGTTTTTGAAAACAATTTTTCTGCAACGAGGAAAAGCCCGATCGCTTCATTTCCATGATCATCTCCTCGAGTGTCAACTTCTTCAAACAAAAAAGATAACATTATTAAACATTATATTTACCTAAACCAATTTTGTTAATAATAAAGGTGCCACAGAACATTACAATATTATTATGGCGCAATATCGATCTCACTTTTCGGGATGCAATAGCACCTTGAACTATAGACGTGCCGACGTGCACACAATTTAATATTCGAACCATTTTTCCAAATTCAGTAATTTAAATTAAAACATGATCGTCTCACACTTCACGGAGCATTCCAAATTTTTCAAATTTATTAAATACAGATAATTATAGAGTGAGAAATTGCGATTCATTTCCTTATCATTTTTGGTACTTTCGCACTCTTGCACAAGTTTATCTTCTCCGCGCTATAATATCATCACAGCTCAGCATTCAATCTGACAAAAATCATATCCCAAATCGATCTATCAACAAGTGATTTCATATTTTTCTCTTATTTTCTTACTTTCGCAAAATTAAATATTTTTTATATTTTAGAAAATAAATTTTATTTTAATATTAAAAAAAGTAATGATGAAAAATATTATAAACATGCATTATTCAAATTGCAAACCATCAAGCGCTTAGCGATCAAGAAACAACCAATTTACTGTGCCACACACACAGCAGCAGCGGTAATCAGTGAACACCGTTCTCTCTTGAGAATTTGAGAAAACTTTTAGTTCTTTGCATTTATTAATTTGCGATCATTTGCTATAAATAAATTTACTCATAAAATGTTTTAAAAAATTGTTAAGCTAAAAAAAGTTTTTTATTATAAATTTGGAAAAAAATATAATCAGGCTGCAAAATGAAGATCAGGAGGTAATTTAATTTTTTTTACTCTATGCTCGGTGTAAGCATTTTGTGCGATTTATAGCTAAAAGGAATGTTCAAAACTAAATTTTTGTAAATTTTCCCTTAAAAGACTTTCAAAACATTTTGTCGCAAATTAATTGTTTCTGTAAAAATTTTAAAGTCGAAAGTTGTACTCAAAAAATTTGAAAATAAAATAATATATTTTCCCATCAATAAGAAAATGTAATTAAATTTTACCAATTTTACATCTCAAAAACTTGCAGAAACAGTTCAATGTGGCATGACCGTGCCAAGACCGTGCCTTGACCGTGCCCTTCGCGCCCACATCGCCACAGCAACTGCGCGTACTGACATGCCTGACACCTAGTGGCCAACATCGTGCAACAAACCAAGTCTCTTTTCTGATCTGCTGACTTCGCATGTGTTTACGACGTAAACTTTGCCGCTAAAATTCACTTTTGCGATATTTTGAGTCAAATTTGCTGCCCAACTTGCAATTTGCATGTATCAAGCGTTGTCCATGTTGATTCGGGATACCATGCCAACTTCCGGCTGACCTGCAAAAATGACCCTGACTGAAATCAAATTTTTATCGTCAAGCATGGAACGCCGCTTTTCCGCTTGATTAGGGTGAGTTTGCTCGATATTTTTTGTTCTTAATTTTATTCTGCAACTAACTTCTACTGTCTTTTAGGGCTTGAGATCTGATAGGAGCGTTCTTGAGGCACATTATAGAGGAGCGATGCATCCATTTTGCCGGTTTTGTTTGAGCCCTGCTGACAAGGTCATCACCCTTGAGGACCTGGGGGTTGAGAGGATGCAACACTGGGCATCGCTAAACCTGGGAGTGGAGGTATTTTTTTTTTTTTTTAATGACCAAGACACTATTATTATGCAGTATAATTTTTTTTAATGAATTATAAAATCATCTGTACGTGGAATGTTATTATTGATTTGCAACTTTTGTCACAAACTAGCTATGTATTATGTATTTACGTTTAGCAAATTGCGCATAATTTGTAACATTTCTCTTAGCTCAACTTCTGCCCTGGGTTTTCGACGAGCATCTGCTGGGCATGTGTGACTACTTTTCAATTCTGGGCCAACATGATCAAAGATCGAGCCGAATGCCAAGGAGATGAGCACTTGGGCTCACAGAATGTTTGGTGGGACGACCTCTCCAGTAGTCAACAGAATAACAGTAATTAATTTTCTGTTAATATTTTCTATAAAGCTTCAAGATGAAATTATACTTGGCTTTTTTTCTTGAATTAAAAAAAAAAAAAACATTTTAATGGCTGCTGCACATGCGCACTGTATATTACTTTTTCGTACTTTTTATTATTAAATTTTTTAATTCTGACTTTTTTTAAATTTTTGTAGACTCAAAACAGATTGTGGAATCAATCACAGAGATGGAACCAGAGGTTGAAAATGTGATTGAGCTGCAGGAGCAGAGTGTGTGTCCCATAATAGAAGCCATTCATCCAAGTGTGGACTTAAAAAATTGCTCAGTCAAGATAAGTGCTTTAAGTGATGACTTTATCCGTCGGTGCTGTGAAGGTTCCGTCAACCTTGCCGCTATGACTGCTGGATTCCCTGGAGTGAAGTCACACTTGAAGTGCAGGACATGTAGCATAGTGTTTGATGACGTCACTGGAAAACGCCGCCATATTTACAAAGTGCACCCTGACTTGAAGTCATGCCCTTATTGCCTTAACTCTTTTGCGGCCAACTTCAACCTGGTCAAACATGTGATAGAGAAAAAATGCTGCATTAAGTCATTGGGCAAAACACAACTGCAGTTTTTCTGTCCCAAATGCAATGTTTCAAGAGGAGACTTAAAATCACTTCAAGAGCACTTTGTGAGCAAGCACTGTGGAGCCTACCAGAGCAAGTTGCCTGACTGGATGGGTTCATGCTGCAGGTGCAGCAACGTCTACTTTGTCAAGAAGCAGCTGGACGATCACTTCAAATACACACATGAGATCTACAGTTGCAAGAACTGTGTGGCAAAGTTCAAGAGCAAGGTTGTGCTCGTTGGCCACATAGCAGAACAGCACACAGACATAAAATTTTCTAAATTTTACAAGAGGACAGACAATCGTTCAATTTTGTTGTGCATTGCCTGTGATGCCAAGTTTGGAACTGAAATGAGAATGGCAAAGCACTTCCTCAACTTCCACCCTGAATTGCTCAAGATGCTTGAGCACCCTAATGTTGTATTTGATCTGGCAGAGGAGGCAGCCAGCTGTGAGAAAATCCCCTATTTGGATCCAGAATCTGCTGATGGTATAATTTTGATGATTATTTGATTAGTTTAAAAAAATATAATTTTTTTTCAGACTACACACAAGAAAAAAGCTGGATTCGCAATATTGAGACTGTCGATAGTGAAAAATTGGCTGCTAAACCGCCAGGATTCAAAGCCCTGCAAAGACTTTTCCCTCCTCTCAAATGTCCGCAGTGTAGTAAAAGTTACTACAGAAACTCTACTCTAAAAATCCACATGAAAGTTCATCAGACAAAAGACACCGAGAAGCAAGAAATCAAGAAGGCAATTTTTTTCTTTATCTTTTTGATACAATATGCTAATTTTTCATTCAATCCTGCAAACTTTCTGTTCAGTAGGAAAAAAAAAATCAAGTTAATATAATAGAGATTTTTTTACAGGAACAACCTTCTGAGTATTTAATTAGCGGGACTGGCTCAGATGAGCAGCAATCATTAGACAGCATTGCCACAGATCAAGTTGGCATGCCGAACCAACAGGAGGTTGACGAGGAGGTCGACCAAGAGGGTCAGCCGAAGCCAATAATCGCGGAGAAGATGCAAAGGAAGAAACAGTTTCCCTGCAAATATTGCAACACAGCATCCTACTCCCAGTCTTCGTCACTGCTGAGACATGTCAAACAACGTCACTCATTGATCTCGAAATGTTCAGAGTGCTGTATGGGATATGTAGAGGGCAAAGTCTGCTCCACCCACAGGTCTATTTTATCAGCTGCAAAGGTCAAGGCTGCAAAGGCTCAGACACCCACTCCTAGCAAAACTGCTTCAGTGGAGCCTTCAAAAGACAAAGATGGCAAAGAAGGCAAAGAAGAGACTTCAAAGGAAATAGAAGAGAAGGCCGCAGAGGAAACAAAAGTAGCTGAGCCCAAAGTGTTTACTAGAGTTACTAGACCAAAGAGAGCAATTCCATCTGTAGTCTTTGCAAAACCCATTAAATGTCCAGGCTGCAGTTTTACAGCCAAAGGTGGTTTTGAGCTGAAAAGTCACATAAATATATGTACAAATCTCAGTCAGCATTTGAAAATGAGGATCAAGAAAATGTCGTATTCTACTTTGCCATCTATTAAGTTGGTCAGCTGCAAAGTTTGCCAGAGATTATTTCTCAGTCCTGGTTCTCTTGTTGGTCATATGAAGACTGCTCACCCCGATAGAATTCATTTTGTCTGCAGGATTTGTGGCTCTACTTTCCTCAGCAAGTCTCAACTTGAAAACCACTTTAAAATGCGACACAAAAACAAGTCCGCTGCTTATTATGGGCCAAGGCCTAAGAAGAAAGAAAATTCAAATACCTCAAAATCATCACAAGAAGGTGCAGCCAAAGTTGTTGTTGGAAGTCGAAACATTGTCAACGACCCATCAAAGTGCCTTAAAGAACTTCCACCAGGTGTAAACCGCATTGGGAACAAAATGACATGCCCCTTTTGCCCCTCTGTTTTTGAATCCCTGATGATATTGGAGGAGCATGCGATGTTGGCGCATGCAACAGAATATCGATTTGCCTGCCGCCTCTGCAGCAACAAGAAGTTTATTTACCAATCATCTCTGTACAAGCATATCAGAATGGAACATCCTGAAGAATCTCCCAAACGCACGCCACAAACTCAATCAAGCAAACGCAAGGCGTTGCCCTTGATTCTGAAACCAGGGCATCCTGAAGCTGCTGCTGGCAAAGAAATTCAGGATCCTAGGCTGTCCGGAACTCCATCAAGGCCTAATGCTGACCAAGAGGCTTCAAATATCAAGAAAATGAAGTTTACTATGGGCCAAGAAGCAGATTCCTTCGTGTCTGAAGAAGAGATGAATTCTAGTGCAACTCAAAGAGCCCTCATAAGCCCAAAATATGCAAGCCCAGCTGAAAACATGGAACTGGAGATGGAGAAATGCAACTATTGTGATTACTTTTTCATTGATCATAAGTCAAAAGTCATGCACCTAAATTCATTTCACAAGAAGTCTGAGGATTTGAGTTGCCATCTGTGCTCCAGATCATTTTCAAGCAGGGTCGTGTTTTCCATGCACATAAACGAGTGTAGGGGCATCAGGATCACCAAGCCTATTTTGAAGAATTTAGTTGAGATTAACTGCAGCCATTGCAGTTTCAAAGGATCTCTGGACATTGTGAGATCTCACGAGTCAAAGTATCATATGACTCACACGAGCTTACAAGCTGCTGATGAAGAAAGGACAAGAACAGTGGAAAGGGATAAAATAGAAACAATTCAAGAAGCACCTGGGGGAATTTCTTCAGCAAAATTACCTGAAATTCAAGATCCTTTGGCCAATCTGAGTGAAGAGAAGCTCAAGCAAGAAGAAAAAAAATTGGACTACAAAGAATCTATCACTTTGAAATATCCTCCAGCTAAGAATTACCTAGGTGGAAAGAATCTGAAGCCCGGAGAGGTTTGTGTTTCACCACCAAAAGTTTTCGACATACCGAAAACTCATAAAACATTGCTGCCGGCATCTCCTGCTAAGAAGATTTGCACTTCACCATCCATTGTTTTTCATAAAACGATTAAGCTAAAATCACCTCAGGAAGTTGATCCTACAACTGTGCCTCCAGTGCAATCTGCTGAGGTCTGCAACTTGCCACCAAATGAAGAAGTGCCGAAAATTGTTGAAAAGACTTCTCCCAAAGCAGCATCACCTGTGCCACCATTGTTACCTTTATCAGGTCACACCTCCAAGATCTTGATCACATCATCAGGGCATAAGCCAGATGACAAGGCTTTGATGAAACAGATCAGTCCGGTCTTGGTGCCTGGAAAACCTTATAAGACCTGTGGACTTTGTAAAAAGAGTTTTGCAACTCCCGAGCTGGTGGCCAACCACATTCTACTAACTCATCGAGTTTCCATGGCAGACTCAAAGGGCAACATGGTCGATGACTCGGCTGTTCTGGGAAGTCCAACAGTGAGTAAAAGCACTCTGGTTTTGATGCCCCCTCCCGCATCTGCACAGCCCCCTCAATCCGTCATTACTAATAAAGGGGGCTTAAAGTTGGTTTTTCTGAAGTGTCAGATCTGCTCCACTTTTGTGTCTCAAGACCATTTTGAAGGCCACCTGAAGAGCCACTGATAATTTGCATAGAGCATTTCAAGTTATGTGTTTATATATATATTTTTTTTTTTAAATTTATAAATTATAAACAATTTCATTTTTTTTTTACCAATTTATTTATGTTTATGGCGATATATTAAAAATAAAACAACTCATTGACTTAATGAATGAATTTTATTTCGAAGACTGAAAACATGGTTGGTAGGGTTCTTTCAATTGTTCCAAAACAAACATGTTGCTCAGATAATATAGTTTTTTTTATGAAAATTTAAATTCCAATTTTAGTTCCAGTCCAAGTATTAATTATCTTGAAGCGAATTTGATGCAGTCGATTTACTAATTTTTTCTTTGTAACATGGTGTCTTCTGTGAAAGGCGATTTACATTAAAATGCCCTGCTTATCTCATTTCAAATGGTTTCAAGCGTATGTACACATTAATATAACCGGTTTGATTTCTCATTCTTTGTGATATATAGTAAGAAAATCAACATTTATCTCCAAAATATTTTTCTATTTGTGTGTGAGGCAACAAGATTATTCCCCTTCAAATTTTAAAGTACAATTTAATTTAAAAGATAAATTGCAGTTGACACACCTTTTAACTTAAATAAGCAGAAATTTAACACCAAATATTCAAAGTTCAAAAATAATTTTGAACGTATATTTAATTACGTATAATATTATAGTGAGACACTTGACTATGTTAAATTGATGAGTATTATTAATTGTAATTTTTAGGGCTTGTGTTTTGTGTATGAGCTTTATTTGAATTTAACACACCATATGTTGGCATCTTACATGCAACACTTATAGTAATTACAGGTGATTTTAGTTTATTTAATTGTATTTTTTGTTGGCTAAAGGACTTGATGTCTTGGGATACATGCTGAATTTCATCCGGGGCCTCTTGCTTATTCGACATTTTATTTATGTCTCAGCACCTTCATTAATATTTTTCAATGAATTTTCATCCCTGATTATTTTTAATTATTCAAGGACAAGAATTAAAATCAGGTCCCAAATATTTCAATTCGTTAATTTCTTTAATTCCACTTAAATTGTTGACAGGACCGAAATTTATTTCGGGGATTTTTTTTAAGTGTGTGAAGATTTTTTGTGAGCATCTACGTCTGTAATGTGATTTAATTCAGTAATATTTATGAGATTATTTATTTCCATTTATTTTAATAGTTTACACAACAAGAGAGCTCTGATTTAATTTGTGATACTAAAAGTGCAGCGCAGAATATAGTTGCATGAAAGACATTATTCTGACTTATTAACAAGGTTATTTTTCCTCTCACATATTTTACGGTATAAAGAAAGCCCCTTACAATACAGAAATGTAGACAAAATTATCTTAACATTAAAATCTGTGATTGTTATGTATGGGAAAACGAGCATTTTTAGCTTCACAATAAAATGGACGTGACAGGTGAGAGCCTCATATTTGATTTGCGGCCAGTGCTGAGTAACTTTTTGTGCACGTAAATTTCCATTTCCCTATCATTAAAAAAATTACTCTGTCAACTCGTACGGAACTCCAGGACGCTTTTTCCACAACAGGAATCCAGACAACAAACCCACACAGAGTCCAAGTACGACCATTGAAAATCCAAAACCAGCCATTGAACCTGTAAAATCACAGAAATAAATAATAAAATTTTTTTTTCAAATTAATCAAATTCTAAATTGAAATTCAATTTTGTATTATGAAAATTATATAATTTTTTTTATCATTTATCTATTACTTGCTTTTGATTTGATTAGGAAAAACTATTTTTAATGCAAACCTGCAGTGTATGTTGCGTGGAAATAGCGCCTCGGCTTGCCTCCTGTTGTTCCTGGGTGGACAGCCTCAGGGACAGCCGCCAAGGATCCGGCCCTGATTTGCACCACCCTTTGTCTGCCTCCTCCAAGACCGATCCTCACTGGTACAGGGTGCCTCTGGACGATGCCCCTCAATAGTTGATGGGCATCTGCCAGCGAAAGTTGAGCCCTTGGCTGGTCGACCGGGCCGACCAGACCTGGCGCCTCCAGTAAAGAGAACCAGACGGCCACTTCGCCGTTCATACCCTCGCTGCTCAGCTGCAAAGCAAAAATTAATTGAAAATTTAGATTTATTTTTATTTCTTTTGAAAGTGATTACAGATATTTTTTCTTCAATGAACTATTCCAATTTTTTCAACACCAGAAAATAAGGTTATTATTTTTTTATCATTTTTTTTTCTTACTGTAATTTGGGTAACCCTGAGTGGAGAAACTCCTGCGATTCCAGCAATGGCCCGGCGCAATGAATCCTGGACGGCCTCCAGATTGAATTGAGACAGCTCACGATATGAAACTAAATTGCAATTCGGTTAAATTAAAACTTAAAATTTCACTAATTTTTAAATACTTTGTAAAGACAATTTTAAGAAGAGGCGGTTCAGTCTGTTCAGGCAAGGTGCAATTTCAAAGTTGGACCAAGCTGGGTGTCCCGTTCTGTAGCCGTAGTAATGGGTAGTTGAAACATGTTGGAATGCCGTGCTGGACTGGCTCTCTTGCTGCATATTTCAGTATAAATATTTAATTATTAATATTATATATTTAATTTCAATATATTTAAGGTACCGCTGGTGTTAAATAAGTGGCAACTCCAACAGGCACGCGCTGTACGTGGTTCAGAACTTCCATTTCGACGCTCCAGTTTTTGTGCGAGAGAAACACTTCCACTGTCGAGTAAAATCCTCTTTGGGTGCCCCTCGATGCAACCCACACGTCGCACAAAATCCCGCGCACCTCGCGCTGTCAAAAAGGATTTTGGTTTTATCCATTTAGTTTTTTATCTTTTTACTCACCAGTCCCCAGTAGGCGAAACTGTCTCTGTCCGCGTGAAGAAGCTCTTGGGCATGTCTGAGACGGACGTGCTTGGTGGCTGCTGTGAGGGCTGCATCAGGCGCGTCCAGGGGAATTCCTTCCAAGGTGCAATTTCCAGTATCTTCACTAATTCGGTATTGCACTCCTGAAACGAAACCACCATTAATGCGCCATTCAAATTGTTGACAAATAATGCCATTTTAATTTTCGTATTTTATTTATTTTTCATAAACTAAATCCATAATTGAAAATTTTAATTTAATAATAACGAAAATGACACAAGTTAAAGCTACCTCGACTAAATTTTCCATTATTTATATTTTTAATCAATTTTTAAAACAAAATAGCATTATTTTTCTAATTGTAAGCAGAAGAAAAAATGAAGTGAATTTTATTTTACCACTTTTGAAGTCGTGCACTAATCTGTAACTCTGCGACGGTAGTCTGGACTGAGCGGGAGGGAAGTTACCAAAGTTGACAGGTGGCAACGGAGTGTGCAAATGCGGCCTCCAAGTGTAAGCGACCAACTTTTCCACCAAGTCGTAATGCTGCTGCTCGTACGAAATAAGCCTCGAGCTCTGCAAAGACAAACAATTTGGTTTCGCAGTTAAGATATATCCGCGCTCTCTCTGCGAGCAAATGTTTTATCGCTGGCTTATATTGTTAGGACGATGAGATTAATTTGATGTGGTGACGTGTTCAGGCAAAAAAGGACTAAAAATTCGCTTACGTGCACAATTGTCTCCATAGAAACAGAGAACTGTTCCGCCAAGGGAGGAAGTCGAGGCGCCCTATTTGTCTGTGCCAAGGGCTGACAAAAGACGCCAGGGGGTGGCAGGAAGGGCGAGTCCACCCTATTCCATTCTCCGCCAACTTCGGTCTTGAAGTTCAGAAAAGCGTAAGTCAGCTGAATGTAGCCTCCTGGCAATCCAAAAACACGCCCTGCAAACAAGGAAAGTTGCAAGCTAATAATTTTTCATTTTTTTCTGCAAGGAAATTAGAAATTATTGAAATAAAATTAGACTTTTTGTTTTCTTTTAATAATCAGGTAAGAGTAAAATTAATTGTAATACATATTATTTATGTATTCAGCAAGCGATTTAGTTGGTATGTATAATCTGTTGATATCTGTTCTGTTGATAGTGTTGACTTGAAACCTTAAAAGAAAAGAAATAGGAAAAATATAATGAAATAAATTTAAAATTTTTTGAAATTTTTCTTTCAATTTGAAAGGTTTAATTGTTTTAATAGAGATGACTCGAATAGAAATAAAAATTAAATAATGCTTTTTTGCATGAAATAACAATATTAAATTACGTTAAATTAATTAAATTCTATTATAGCAACTAGAATTCTGAAATTTTTCCTCTTTTTGATCCTATAATATGACAATTCTTTTTACATAAAATAATAGAATTTATAGATTACCCTTTTTCCCATGAAAGAAAATTTGAAAACAAATTGCCTAATGTATTTAATATGGCCTCGTGCGACCTGCGCCTAAAAGGTTTGAATGACGGCGCTGTGATCGGTGCACACCCACCGGTCCCATGTGCAGCCCACAAGAGAAAAGGCGCAAAACTGCCATGTTTTGCATTTGCGAGTGAGTTGTTTGTGTCCAGAGAGGTGGACTGTTTGTGTTGTTTCCCTGGAAACTTGCAAATTTGGGCTAGAAAATGAAACGACCCCGGCCACCTGAGGTAATAATTCTTGAGTTTGAACGCTGATTGAAATTTTAAAACGTAAATCGGTTGCTGTTTTAGAAGTGTCACACAACTGATCCCGGTGGAAAGAAAATCAAACTCCATGCAGACCAGCAAAAAACCACCACACAGTCTTGCAGGCTTTGCCTGAGGCCCGCTGAAAAACCAGTTTCACTCGGCCTTATTGGTTTGGAGAATATTCAGCGATGGGTTGCTGATTTCGTTGGAATTGAGGTAAATTTGCACTTTGTATGGTTATAAAATATTTCTGACATGTTTTTGTTGTTGTTTAAATTTTATCATTTTGAATAATATTTTCTAATTCTATTTTCAGATTAAGTTCTCAAGTGGATTCTCTGAAAGTATTTGCTGGCCCTGTTTTACAACCCTGAAGACTTGGGCCAACGAGCTGAAAATACAAGCAGCCAGAAATGGTGATGCTAAGCTCAATTCAACTGGGATGTTTTGGAATGAGATCATCAAGAATGAAATTGTAGAAAAGAGCTCTAAAATTAATGGTAAGTTATTTTTTTCTGTGCTTACATAAGTTAAAAATTGTTTTCCAAACTTCGTATTTAACTTGATTATTTTTTTTTAATATTTCTTTTCTTTTTGAAAAGGAAAAAAATTGTTGTTTTGTTTTCGAGGTAAAAAATTAACATGGTGAAAATTTCACAGTAAATCATTCAACTTTGGAAGTGGAAGAGAGCTCTAGCAAATCAACTAACTTTTTGAGGATCGAAGCCATCCACTCTGCCACTGAAGTGAAAGAATGCAGTGTCCAGTTGGAAGAACTAGATGATGATTTCATTGTGAAATGCTGCCAGGGCAAAGTTGATCTGCACAGCAAGGAGAAGGAAAATTCAACTCGAGAAAAATCATTCTCGTGCCCTGTGTGCAAATTGGTCTTTTGCAGCAGCAGCAGCTTGAAACTCCACTTAGAGCAAACCCACCCAGATCTGAAAAGCTGCCCAAACTGCCATTTGACCTTTACTTGGAGACGCAGCCTGACCAAGCATGTGATGGAAAAATCCTGCCTGATCTCAAGAAAAGTCAACCAGAGTGCCTTCTTCTGCCCAAAATGCCCAAGATCGTTTGATAGCCTTCCACACCTTGCTGCGCATTTGAAGGGCCAACACCCTCTTTTTCAACTTCCAAACGCAGCTTACCCCTGCAAGAATTGCTGCAATGTCTACATGTCCCTCAAACAGCTCTCAGATCACTTCCGACACGTCCACGGCGATTTCTCATGCGAGGTCTGCGATGAAGAATTTCCTGCCAGGACTCTGATCATGAATCACTTGATTGAAAAGCATCCTGGATTCCAACTAGAATCTTTCTACCTTCCATCGGATGAAAAGAAATTCTGCTGTGCTGTTTGTGAATTTAAATTCAACAAGTTTTCTGCAGTTGCTCGGCATTTTGTCAAATACCACAAGAACCAGATTCCCATGATGCTTAACAAAGATGAACTGTTTGCTGAACTAACTGACGAAACTGTCATTGAAGGAGAAACTTCAGTAGCAGACGAATTTGAATTAGAGCCAGACGAGGAAGTAGAGGAAGCCGAGTCTGAAGAGGATGATCGCGCTGTGAAAGTGCAGGGTGGATGCGATATTATCCTTGGCAGTATCTCAAAGAAATTGTCTTGTGTCCACTGTCAAGAAGAATTCAACAAGCTAATTGATGCAGTTTCTCACATGAAAGTGAAACACAGCTCTCAGTTGCCTATCTGTTGCCCTGGATGTGGAATTGGCAATTTCAACAAGCCATTCCTGACAGACCACGTTGCTTCCTGTGAAAAGGTAATTTTTACATTGTGCTTTAAATTCCACCCTCTTCTGTTGACTTGCTAATGCTTTAATGTGTAATGAAATTTTTACGACTTTTTAAAAACAATTTTAATTTTTATGAATATTTGTCAGATTTTAATTTTCGATTTTAATAAGACGTGTCTCAATTTTTCAGGTTCCATTGAATATTACGAAACAGCTGCAAAAGGATATAGCATTAAAAAATTCAATCACCTATAAGTGCCCTCACTGCCCTCAGATATTCAAGTTAATTAACACTGCGAACCTCATGACACACTATGAGAAGAAGCATCTCTCAAAACTCTGCTTCAAATGTCCTGGTTGCTGTTTATTGCATCCTACACCTCAACATCTATTGTCCCACCTGTTGAGCTGCAAGAAAATTCAATTTTCCTCATACCTGCCCCAAGCCTCTACTTCAGTCTCAGAGGCGGAGGAAGGCGAGTATAAATGTGCGTTGTGTTCCAAGCAATTTGCTACCAGTGCACTGCGAGGCAACCATTTACTGATTCACCGCACAAAGGCCAAAGTCTTTGAGTGCGATTATTGCTCACGCATATTTACAAAAAAATTGGAATTGATCGTTCACATTCTTGCACATCAGAATCAGCCTGCAAATATGAACTTTGAGCCAAAATTCCAGTGCTGTGTGTGTTTCACTGAGGTTTACACTGATATTGAACTTGCACGCCATTTGCAATTTGCACATCTCAATAGAATCTCATTTTCAAAAAAATCCAAGGAATCGCAAATGGTTGTTGCTGTGCGCAGCATGCAGGTTCAGCGTTTGTCTGTGAAGAACAAGAATCGAGACATTCAGTTTGATCCTCAAACTTCCATTCTCAGATACCAAGGCAAGAATATCTGCTGCCAACTTTGCCCAATGATATATTGCAATGAAGCTTGGTTCACTCGTCACATGGAAAAGCAGCACAGCAATTTGATCATTTGCTCAGGTTGCGGAACAAGATTCTCATTGTTGATACAGATGAAGAACCATTTTAGAACCTGCAACAAGATGGCTGCGGACCAAAAATTGCTGATGATGAGTCAGCTGAGTCCCAAGTATACCAGCGAATGGGTCTGCAAGCCATGTCAGAAGGTCATGTACAGCATGACTGAAGTCGATTCTCACATTTTAAGATGTCACAAACAGTTTGAGAACCTCCAGTGCAACCAGTGCAATCTTCACTTTATCAGCAAGCAAGCCCTGGAAGAACACAGAAAAATGCATCAGCTTCCAAAACAAATCCTTATGAAGACCTGCATGGAGTGCAAGATTTCATTTGACTCAGAGGAGAACCTTTGCAGACACAACCTTTTGAAACACTCCACTCCATTGACAAATGACAAACAACCTCCGTTGAAGATCTGTGAGAAGTGCAAGGCCAATTTTGACTCGGAGGCACAACTTCTCAGGCACGACCTTTTGAAACACATGACCCACGAAAACATAACTTGCAAATTCTGCTTCCTGATGTTCCCCAAAGTGGACTTGCTGATCACTCACATTTTAAGGCAGCACCCTGAGAAAGCCTTCACTTGTGAAATCTGCAAAATGCCTTACATCAACAAGTTCATGCACAAGTGCCACAATGCCAACAATCAAGAAGTTGACAAGGCCGTGGAGGTCTCAAAGCCTTTGACAGTGGACGCCCCGAAGCGTTCGAGGGGTCGTCCGAGGAAAAACCCTGAGCCAACTTTTCAAATCATCGACAACAGTGACAACACAGGCAAGAAGCGAGGCAGAGGCCGGCCAAGGAAAAATCCTGTCGATGACAATGAGAGCAAACTGACCATTCAATGTAAGACATGCAAGATGTGCATTCTGCGCTGCGACTCTTTGGCGGAATTGCTGAAAAAATCAAAAGGAGCCCAGGAATTGCACAAGTGTAGTAAGCAACAGAATGGGAAAGCAATGAGCATCGTTCCAGTAAAAACCATCAGGTAATTTAATTACTTGGTTTCTCAGTGAGTAAAAATAGTAAAATTAAGGATATACCCACTTAGTTTGAAAAAAAAATGTATTTTGCTATGTAACTAGCAAAATTTTTAAAAATCATTGCTTTTAATTTTCAGTAAATCAGTATATATGAATATAATTTTTTTTTTTTAAAGCAATAAAGAAACATTTACTACAAATGTTCCCCGATGATTTTAGATTTGAAATTTGAAAATTGTCAATGGCTTCTAATAAAAATAAAAATGATTTCAAATCACAACTTTTGTCTTTTACGAATGCACCCATATAAATGCGTAATTATTCTAATAAAAAAGGGATCATTGACTCACCACTGCCTTCTAGCCGTGCAGCGACAGGCAAAAGATCGTGTCCCTCAGATCGAACATACGTCAATTCCACGCTCATGTCGGCATCACGCCGCCTCCAGCTGAGCATTTCAACTGTGCCGACTCCGGCTCCTTGTACCGTGGACCTAAAATTTATTCAAGAAAGATTGAGAATTAAATTACAAGATTTTCTTTACAAAGGAAATGTATTCCATGAGACAATTATGAATCTTAAATTTTATAATAATATTAAAATTAATTGTGAGGTCAAATTTAATATTCTAACCTGTTTGTATCCTGGCCAGGCGCTCCGGACGATATGAAGGAAATTATCGATTCCAGCCGCACATAGGAGGCGCACTGGCTCTCACTGCAAAAGCAGGCGTGCGGCAGTGAGGTGGACACATGGCACCTCACCCCTGCGAAGCGATCAATTTCAAATTAATGCCTCTAATCGATCAATAAATGGGTTGTTTACCTCGAATGACGTGTCCAGAGCCGGACGTCAAGTTGACTAAACACGACTGCGACGGGCCTTGTTTCTTGTTTGGCGCCGCTCTTGGCACCAGGGTCAGCGCCAGCCGTGTTTCTTCTTTGTGCTCGAAGACTGTGAACTTGCGGTTGCCATCCCATATTTCAACGGTCAGCTTGTAATGCTAAAAAAAATGATCAGTATTTTTTTTTTAATTCTACTAGAAAAATCTTAAACTTTTTATATCCTTTTTTGCTCAATTATATCACTTGGCATGCAAATTTGATGTAATTTGGCTGGACTGGAATAATATTTAGAATATTTTCGTATCGAAAAATTAATTAAGCAAGAGAGAAGACTTCTGGGCGAAATTAATTACAACAACTGTTGCGCCATTTCAAAACAAAGCCCGCGAGAACTTTTTTGCGACAAAAGAAAACAAACGCAATTGCAGAGAGGTTAATTTACAAAAAAAGATTTCATAACAAAGAGGGCAGAGGCAAACAGTAATTTAGAAAACAAAACCGGCAAGAGCAGTGAGCGCGCTGAGAATACAATTGCAAGCTCTGTTTTTGACGACAAACGAGAGGCTTCAAAAAAGAAAAGCGCATGCAGCCGAGAGCTAAAAAAGCCCTAATACGACTGAAGCTACAAATAACAAACAAGAAAGACAAGTGGGTTTATGCAACCGGCACGTATCGAAAGGAGCGCGGATTGCCTACTTAGCTCTCGTCAGGCGCTCTCACTGCTGGCAAGATATCTAAAGCTTTCAAGTTTCGTTTTCCTCTCAATTTGCCAAGCAGAAGGTACGCGCTGAGAGTGCTGAGACCGCAATGAACGGAGGCTCAACTCAATTACAAAGGTTTGCCGACCGTGCAGACTTAGTGAATAATTGACCAAAATTCAATCAGTTGAGGTTTACATACAATGGAATGAGTTTTGAATCTATTTTTTTTTATGATGGCGTTGTATTTTTGCTTACCGTTGGAATAAAAAATAGATTTCAATTTAAATCTGCTTGCAAAATACTAAAAAAAATTCACATTTCCAAATTTTTGTAGGAAAAACATAATATATTAACACTCGTAATCAATTATACAGTTTATTTCGTTTATTTTACATTAATATGAATGGAGTTGCAATCATTGAAAAATAATTAAAAAAAATGTACAACAAAGAGATAAAAAAAATTAGGGTGGAATTGAATAAAAATCTTACCTCTGGCAGCATAGGCGGCAGCGATTCGAGTTCGTCCTTGACCGGTTCGGTGGTGGTCGGTGCTTCGGTGGTGGTCGTGGCCACAGCAGGACTTTTTTCAACATGTTCCGTTGGCGTGGGATGCTGTTTTTTCGCGGTGGCCGGCGGCGAAGGCGGGGTTGTCGTTGTCGAGAGCGTCGAGCTGGCCGCCTCGGTTGTGACCTCCCTCGCGACCTCTGCCCTTACCGAGCTGCCGGGATGAGTTGTAGTCGCCTCGGAGGTGATGGCCGCCTGCGTGCTGGCGGCCTTGGCCTCCACTGGGCCGGTGCTGCTGCTCTGCTGGCACGTGCTGAGCGCGGCCAGCGCCCACAACACAAGCGCCAACCGCACGATCATCTCTCTGCAACACAAAAGAGTCGCCTTTTGAATGCGCCATTCTTTGTTCGTGCTCTTTGTCTCTCTCGCGGGCGAAATAATAATAAAAAAGAAACTAAAGACGACCTCTTTACATGCACATATGCAATTTTCGGCACACCGCGGGGCCACACGTCCGCTCGTTCTCCTTATTTCTAGAGCGCTATTTCTGACCTTTCTTGAGACCCGCAGCTATAAAGTTACACCGCAAGAGTAATGCTCTGACATTAGAGGTGTAAAAAAGTTACATATTCAGCTTCAGGTAGGAAAAAAGTCAAATTTTTTTATTCTTAAGTCGTTTGATTAATTTAATATTTTTGTCGGAGACAGAGTCTCTTTCTGAATTTTTGAAACCACAGAATATATAAATCCAAAATTTTATATTATTTTCTGTGGAAAATAAAAATTAGATTACAATAAAAATAATAGAATCAAATGAAATTCTATTCTAATAAAAATAAATAATCTATGATTTCTCAACAATATTTATCAGAAAAATTTATAAATAAATTTTTCTATAAAATTTATAAGTTGTTTTTAATAAAATTCGCACCCGACTGAATAAGAGTGCAAACAAGCTCTTAAAATCATCGCACTTGAAACATAACGAGCCCGAATCTGCTGAATTCAGAGCTCGTCAGAGCTAAATGCGCACAACTCGACAAAAGAAAAGTTGTTGAGAAGTTCGTGCGCCCGGCTGGCAACTTATGCAATGCGCGGTTAATAACTAAAACAGCGCCAAATTTCTCAACCCACTAGATCAAAAGCTTTAAACTCGGCACTCGAGCGCGAACTCGACAAATCCGGGCAGCATTATAACTGATACGGTTGCGCAGAGGTACGACGTCTTAGCGAAACAAACTTTGGCCGACGCAGTTCACCCATGAGCATAATTAAGAGCGGCATCCAAAATTAGAATTCCCACACGGAGAGAGCAGGTTGCTTTGCTCCTTTCGGCATCTCCTACTTGCCGAGAGGCAATAATTATGCGCATTAAAGTCTCTTGCGCAAAGTTATAATTAGTTCGGCGGGATAAGATTTAAATCACGGCCGCCGCAAAGCACTTGCAATGGGCGATGAGACGCCCCGGCGTAATTGCATGTCTAAAATTTCGCGGCCCCGCTGGCTCGCTCACGGACGAGTAAGTTTCGTCAAAGAATGTTGATTGAAATGGTGCGAGCGCAAGCTTGCGAGCGTCGGCTGAAGAGAACGAGAGAGGACTTTATTGTCACGCCTGTCTGAATCTGCATTTGAATTCGTTTAGCAAAATTGTATGCGGGCGCCGAATCTCTCTCTCTCTCTTTCTCAGAGAGAGAGAGAGAGAGAGAGAGAGAGACCCTTCCACTGTTGGGTGCTTTTGTGCCTCACGAGAGAAAAGAATGAAAAAGTAGGCCGCCGCTCAAACACTCGGCGCGATAAATTATTTCGATTTCATGCATTCGTGTCAGACGTAATCTCAAAAAATGAGCTCAGAATAATAGAGCGCCGACCAGCCTTATAGGTGTTCGCGATTTTTTTCTAAAGCTCCTTCTCTCTAAAAGCTTTTTAAGGGGCAAGGTTTTTTAGGTTAGAACTTTCCAGACACAAAAAGTTTGCAAAATTCAAATTTTTTTCAGAATATAAAATACAAAATAAATATTAATTTTCATTTCTTTTAAAATTGAATAGGTAGTGAAAAATTGCAAACACCGCTGCTTAACACGCAGAGAGTGCGTGGAAAATAATATATTTTTATATTGGAATTGGTCAGATTGGTGACCTCCATAAAATTAGATGAGAAAGCCTTCAGGCTGTCAGACCCTTCAAAATTGAATTAGACAAGAGAGCTTTCCCATGCTTTTAAGCAAGTGACTCGAAATTGGATTATTCAGACATTTTGAAGCCTGCAAGCTCGTACAATTGTTCTGCGAAAATTTTGCAGTTGCATAAGTTATTCGGATTCAAAATTCAATTTCAGCTCTTGATTTAGAATTTTCTTTAAACCTAAAGCTAAAAAGCAACATAATTATTCGTAGTTATTAATAGAAATTATCCTATTAAACGCATTTGCTTACAATATGCGCTGCTGGAGCAGAAGTAGAAAATAAAAATATGAAAAATTATATGATTCATAATTCATACACCCGCTAGTATACATTTCCTTACATTTTACATAATTATATCGCTAATCGCGCCAGCAAAAATCTTGCTGAAAATTCATTGCAAGCATTGCCAACTTAATAAAACAAATTTGTGTAAAATTTACATTATTTTGCTCCTGTTCAAATCGAGTTATGATAAAATTTTAAATTTTGAAAAAATTTAATTAAATTTAAAATATCAAAATTTAAGATTTTTTGATATTTTAATAGAATTCCCTATTGAGGCAATACAGTATTTGGTTGGTTCACTAGTTTTTTTTGCTCCCCGCCTACCATTGCCGCCTACTGACTGCTGACTGATGGCAATAAGTGACCAACAAGAAGTGACTTTTGTTTGTTTGTGTTTTGTGTGTAGCTCGTACCTATGATTTTCATATAATTCGTTCAAACATCGTCGTTTTTGGGTCGCGAATGCCGCGATCATCCTTCAAAGCCTCCGTAGGTCTGAATGCAACGACGATTAAGCGGGAAAGTGACCCAAGAATTTGGCTCCGCGCGCGTTGTTGCTTGACAGAAATCCTCTCCTCCCTCAACCGTGCCACGTGGCATCGGTAAGTTTATGTTAATTTATTTTCGTATGTTATATTCTTTGCTCGGATTAAAATAGAATTGCATTTCTTGTTTGTTGTGAAACGAATTTTATGAAAATATTATGGCTGAATTTTTTTGTCTGCTGCTTGCAGGAAAAATGGCGGTTAACCGGAAATGGCGCAGGGAGGAGGCCCCAGACAGGTCCCTTCGTCGACAACAGTCAGCGCACGACCTTTCCTCAGCACCTTCAGCAGGTCAGTTTTTTCTTCTTCGCATATTCATAATTATCACTATCTTTATTTGTCCCCACACGTACGGCAGACGACAAAATTTGGCCCTTTTTCTGCCGACGCCGATGAATTGTTACGCTAAAAACTAATTAAATGCAACCGCGGTGTTATTAATTATTTGAAATTCTGTTTTAAAAATTTGAAAGACTTATTATTGCCTTTCACTTATGCAAACGATCTTAATATTCCGTAGGGACCTAATTTTTTTTTTTAATTTTTTTTTTTTTTTATAATTTGGGTCAAAAAGGAATATTTTAAAAGATTTGCAATTTATTACACGAAATTCAAGTTTTGTTCGATCGAATGAGCCAGGAATTTCGAATCAAGTTTCCCCGTTTCCCCACATGAAATTTTTTAACCACCCTGTTAGTGACACACGTCACACAGACCAGATGGTGTCGTACATTTGGCCGTAAAATTGGCTTCCGAAGTCGTCGTAAAAACTTGCAGCTAACCTTTGGCGTTCTAAAAATTAATAGACTACGCGCCGGACCAAGTGTGCCGATGTCAGTTATTAAAACGGCGGCTTCTTTTACGACCCACCCCATCAGAGGTTGAATTTTCCAAGGACCACTCGGGCGATGGAGTGGGTTTCATTCTCGGTTCCATCTGCACTTCCATACACATTTTTCGCGCTAATTACTCCCCTTTTTGCTCCGAGCTTGATGAAAATGAATGACTGCGGCGCTGTTCATTTCCAAAGTTTAATTTCCTGTCACGGCTGGGTTATTTTTCGTAATTATTCCTGATGAGATAAAAAAAAAACTTGTTTTACTGGAAGAGGTTGTACGCGTTTTTGTTTGCTGCCATTGTTCATGACTGCAGAATGTACCGTTCGCTGTAATTACCAACTGGTCTATTGTACCTGTGTTGTGATGCAGCAACGCACATACATGGGTATTGTTATTATTATTATTATTATTATGTAAGCCACAAGTGCATAACCAAACCAGCACAAGCTCTGATTTAACTCTCTCTTTATGTCTTGCCCCTCATCAGCCATTAGTTACCTAATGACGGAGCAAACCGGATTATTCTGAGGGAATAATAACTTTCTACAAAAAATAGGGCTTTCCGTAAGCATCGATCCTTCCCAGAAGCCGAAAATAGAACCGTCACGAGACCCGTAATTTACCTCTTATGAAGCCAATATTTGGGCTTGGAAAACCGGAATAGGCCGCAAAATTTACGACTGCTGTGGGAGTAAAATCGATGCTGGGGTTTAACTTATTTTACAGGCTGCTATGAAAACTGATTTATTTTAGCAAATGAAGTTTGATTAATTTTGTTACATTTGAACCGTCTTTAGTTCTGAGCAAATTCAACTTTAAATTATTGCTGTCAATCAAACTTACAAGTAAAATTAAAATAAAATTAGTAACTCTTGACCAATCGCCTTTATGTGTAATTACGTTATGAGACGCGAGTCATTGGAGACAAAATTCCTATTGTGATTAATTGAGGAGGGTGAAAGTGATTTTTTTGGGGTTTAAAAATTCTAAAAAAATTTATAATTTTTTTATGTTTATTCTTAGATTTTAAGTTTCTGAAATTCTTCTGACATTGAATAAAATGGAGTTTAGATATATAGATTTTTTGAAAACAATTATCCGTTGAACAACTAGCGCTGTATAAATCTAATTCTTAAAAATTATGGGTTTATAATGGAGGGAAAATACAAACACATTTCTAATTTTAATGTTACCAATTTGTTAAAAAAATTTTAGTTGAAATGCATTTTGATTGACGTATTTATCATCTGAATGTATATCACTATTATTAAGCAAACTAGAAAACCTGCACAAATGAAATGAATATTCACGCGTTAAAAATTAAATACTGTAAGAAGTGAACATTTGGCACATTTAATTTCCTTGTTCAAAGTTTCCTCTCATGCATGGAGGTTATACCAAGGCTTTTTTTTCTCATTCCACTTCTCTCTCCCTTTATTCAGAATCAAACGAGACCTTTCGCAAGCAGGTCTCGTTGAAAAAGCAATTAAAAAGGGCACCAGAATGAGCGAGTGTGGCGAAACCACGTCAAAAGGAGCGAATTTTCGTCAAAGGACGCTCAAGTCGTCCGACAAAGGCGCATCCTTTGGGTCGACGCTCCGCGCCCGGAATTTTCGGGCAAACGCAATTTCGGCCGAAAGAAACGTCCTGCTTTTCAGCATTAATCAGGCGCGAAGGGAAGGCAGAGTGTATAAATCATAAGCGTGTCGTCGTTCTTCTTAATGAAAAAGCAAAACTGCGTCACTCTCGGCGAGCGCATTTGCAAGAAGCGGGCTCGGCGTACTTGAGAGAGTTACTGGGTTGGTGGGCGCGTTTTTTTCTATCTCGGCACTCTCTTGAGAAGGCTCCGAGTATGTATCAAGTGCGGAAAAATGAATGTTTCTCGCAATAAGGAAGATTGAAGAGCCGAGATTTTAAATCTCCCGCGAAGAAAGAAAGAAATTTCAGCCGAGTATTGCAATTAATAAAAAAAATTTTGTTGCCGTTGCGGCGGTTTTAAATACAAAGGGGCTCCTCGCGCACGCCAAAGTAGCTCTTCACAGTGTTATTATCGAGTAAATGGCTTTGACGCCAACAGCCACCGCCACACAATTTTATCAAAACACCTCTGGCAGAAGCAGCTTTTTCCATAGCCGGCGGCGCATCCACGCTTTTGCTGCATCTCTCGCGCCGCTTTTTCCGCACGACGGCCTCCTTCATGGATATTGCACTTTAATTTCGCCCTGGAAAAAGAAGCGCTGAGCCGAAAAGCCCGAATTTAGGCCACTTACTCGCCTCGCCTGCGTTTTATTATTATTTTTATTTCTATTTTATTTCAGCAGCCGCTGTTTGCATTATGAATAATAATTCGCTGCTGCCGGCGCAACGAGGTTTTTCACTTTGTGCGCGTTTCGAAAAGAGTCGTCAGCGGCGCTGCTCGAATTAAGTTGGTGTTTATTGCCCCCTCTGCTCTCTGTCGGCAAATATCATGAAAGGGAAAAAGAACAGAGCCGCAGCTTTGCCCACTGGCTATTTTCAACGGGAGGCGATGGCAAAAAACTGCGGCTTTTCTAAATGGAAATTCTTTACACGCGGTAACACCTCTGGCATAAAAGTCGGGCCTAAAAGTTGCGGGATGCAAAGGAGCGTCTGTTTGATATCGGGTATGCGTGCCAAAATATTTCGTTTCCACTTTAGGTGGAAAAAATTTAAATTTCTTTTTAATCCCTGAAATTATTTGGAAAAAAGTGTAATTTTTGCAAGTCTTGTTATTTTCCCTCTACATTTTTTGCTGCAATATACAAGCTCATTTTTTTTTCTTCTTCTTCGATAATCCACTGTCTGCCAGTCTCATTGAGAAACTGCTGGCCACGCGAGCAGAATGTCAAGCAGGAAGAAGTCAATGAAAATATTTTCTCCCCAGTGACACATTTATTGAAGTTTGAACGAGTGGAAATGTACGAACGACGGAGGACTCGCCCGAGGAAGACAGGCAGCCACGCAGGCAGGATGCGACCAAATTTTTTCCGTCAGCTAAGCAAAAAAGAGGCGACTCGAGTCCTTTCTTCTTCTCCTCATCCGGCCGTACATATACAGAAAAATACACCCATTCTTATATGTATATGCAGAAGACGTTTGCGTGTATGTAGATATTTTGCAAACGTCTCAGGGCACATAAAATATGTATATGGAAATTCAATTTTTCAACCGACGCGGAGTGTTCACGAGTGAGTCGTAAAAAAGCGAGCGACCGATTTTTATTCCGACTCTTCCTCTGGGAATTAATACGTGGGCTTCGGGCGCGGTGAAGGAGATTCAATAATATCATAAAACATGGCAGTGCAACAAAGGCACTCTCCAGCCGCTATTATTAGGTATCAAAATAACCATCTCCGATATTTGAAAGGGCCGCCCTTGAGACGAAACAAAAAGGTTGCGTTCACTCGGCCGGAATTTATCTCTCCCTTCTGTGCCGTGGGCGGAACGGAAGCCGAGTCAGAAGAGATTGCAATAAGTTCCAGCGCATAATCCGACCCGAGAATACGCAATTACCCTCATTCAGCAAGGACGCCTCCGACAACGCGATTGATTATTGATCAGCAACTACTGCGCCTTATTCGAAAAACGGACGGGCGATTGGGAAATTGCGTAATCCAATGATCGAATGGCAGTGACCGGCGACCGCAACGAGGGGCTAATTTTCCTCTTGACGTAACGACGGCGCCTCCGTCAGTAAATAAATAAAGGTATTAGAGTGGCCCTCGGAAGTGCCACAGAAAGGCTAGAACGAGCAAAGTGACAAGAGCGAGTTGTTAGAAATTCTTATATTGATATTATTATTGTTGTTTATTCTCGTTCAAAGATTATACATACATATCAAGGCAAATATTATTAATAAGGGGTTTTAATTTGACATTTTGAAAATTTTGATAATATCGAAGGATTTAAAAAAATTATAAATTTAAAGCTGTCGAAAGCTCAGCCTGTGCTGATGAAGTAACTTGATTTTATTTAAAATCTAGAATTAATAATTGCATGATCTTTATAGGCGTTGAGAAAAAGTATCTCATTTTTCCAAGTGTATAATTCACGAGGATGATATTTTTATTGTATTATGAAAAAATTGAGGAAATTTAAAATTTATGCTTTTTTAATGGAATTTTAAATTCTTTCTCGTCACTTGTGTTGCGTGTTTTATACGACGTCAAGTTTGAAAACAATAGATTATAATTAATATTGGAAACGAACTTCATTATTTTTATTAATGTGATTTTGCTCTTGAAAAACTTCCCCTTCCCCTTCAGTTTCAGTTTAATTACTCTGTAAAAGGTTAGCATCAAACTTTCTCGTAAAGTTTTATCTTTATCTGACTTTGTGCTGCTTTTTAATATTTATTTTATTAAGCGAAAATCAGCGAAAGTCTTCAATTTGAAAACTCCAGGGTCGGAGTGATCCAAATGTATTCTTGGGAAAGTAGGCTAGTTGCCGACTCTAGTTTGTTCGTTGCTCCACTTATTGCTTCGTTCTGCGTCGCTAACTCGAGCAACTGAAGCGTCGTGTTTGGAGTGCAGGTATGCAACACGCGCAGAATGAGAGAGAGCAGAGCAGGTTGCATAATCAAATATTTAAAACTCTGCTTGCGCTCGTTAATGGCGCCGGCAGCGGATATTGGCAGCAAAATCAAAGCCCATGCGACGTTCAATATATGTTGTTTCAACGGAGCTGAAAGTGCTCGGCTCTAAATAAAACATTTTAACGGAAAATAAACAGATAAAATTTATATTCCTCGCTGTTGCCAGAAGCTTAAAGCTCTTCTGAAAAGTTTCCGTTTTTGAAAGAAGATGACTTATATGGTACGTAGTGATTGGTAACTACGCGAGTCGTTTGGCGGCTGTGGCAACCGAAGCGATGGGCGAGACTATCTTTTGGCAGACGGCCAGCAAGGAAATTTGTCCGTTTTATTCAAAGGCGCATTTTCCTCAGCAGTGGAGATAAAATCAAAATTTTATCTCCGAGCTGAGAGTCATCATGAGTGAAAAAGGGAAACAGCCATAGCAACCTTAGTTACATCAATAAATTTTTAAGGTGGCAAAACATTGGTTTAGATAACTGAAGGTAATCAGAAAGGCATCTGAAGAAATTTAATCATGGATTTTAAATTAATAAATTCTCTATTTGATATTTGATATTTTTCTATATAATTTCTAATATTTTTAAATTAAAACTTTTTGAATTTTTGACAATTTGTTCTTTAGGGAAATGTGATTGGAAAATTAAGGCGTAAACTTATAGCAATAGTAATTAGAACGAAACATTGAAGCTCAAAATTTAAGCTATAACAAGATAATGAAGATTTTCCAATAAAATTAATCGTTTTATTAAATAACATGATTTTTTGTTATAAAATTTAGCAAAAAATAAAATCCAGTACAAGCAAATTTTAATTCCTTTAATCATAAATAAAGTGTCTAATTTTTTTTTTTACTAAAGATCTCTTGAGCAAAAAGGTTAAATAAATCACCATGAAAGATCTCTATTTTTTTCTCATCCCAATTGAATTTATCAATTTATTTCTAAAAAAGGAAGCGTACCACAAATTCAATTTCTCTTTTAACACAACCAGCCGCCTGAAACATTCTCCGCATTTCCGGTGGTAACCATAAACAAATTTACTTGTCATTCGCCGCCGGTCACAAATAGCAAGCGAAAGTGGCCGGAACAATTTTGCGTCAGCACACAAACAAGAGCCCGGCGGTCGGTCGGTCCGTCTGTCGGTTGCCCAGAAAATAAACCGTGTGCCGCAAAAGTGTGAATTGCACGCACATGCAATGTTGGTACCGAACAGGGACACATTCTTGCGCTAACATTTGAAATTCCGGTGGCGTCGGTGCCGCCGAAAGAAAAGAAAGACCGGCCGAATTAAAAAGCGATTGGCACGTGTGTTGATTTGCGAAGGGCAACAATTAGCAGTGCGATAAGAGGACAATGGCTCGGCCGGGGAACGTACGCGACTGGCTAGGGCGTGACTTACCTCAACAGCAGATGTAGTTTGCGCCGCGGCGGCCCCGAGTCTGGCTGCCTTGTGAAATCTCCACTGGAGTCAACACTCACACGGGGCAGGGGTATTGATCGGCCGCCACCACCACCGAGCCACCCCTCGCAGCGTGGCGAGCCTCGTGCCAACCTAACAGAGCGAGGGCGCCCTCCCGACCCTCATTTCCTCTCCGGGACGGCTTTATTTCCTCGACTCGCTTCCTGATTATTTGCATTTTCTCTCTCTCTCTCGTTTAATTGACTCAAAAACACGCACTCGCTTTTTCTTTCTTTCTGAATGCAAAGTGGTGTCATTTGTCTGAGGATTTCGCGGTCGCCCACAGTGCGTATGTACGCGAGCACGAAGATTATTTTCTCCATTCTTTTTTGTGCACTGCCGTCTTCGGCAATGAGGCAAAAACGTGCCTTATGAAATTTCGTCTCTTTTACGCAAGGGAATTGGATTTCTGTTGACGTATTCTGTCTCTGTGAACTGCTTTTGTTGGCGAAAAAGTGGCCTTTATTATTTTTCGCTACATGATGCGCTTTTCACGTTTCTTCGTTTTGAAACTTACTATGCTAATAACCAGTATAACGGACAAGAATTAAAAGCTTTTCAATATTAAGTTGCTATTATAATAAAATTTATGAAAAATATAATTTGAACTTTTTTTGTTTTAAATAAATGCTTTTAACTTTCAGTTATAAAATAAATTAATAATTTATGTTTATTTAAAATAAAATCGCATTTCATGATTCGACAGGAAGTTGTGTGGAACACACAACTACGTTTGATTCATTAAATATTTAAACTAAATGAATAAATTAATTATTAAAGATAATACAATATTATATTCATTAGGAAATTATTGTATAGCTTTGCTAAGAATCGTTACTTATTGTAAAACAAAAATGATGCGTTGGATTTGACATTATTTTATTTGAAAAATTTCTGCAGTTGCTTGATTGAAGTTTTTATTCAGACGGAAAATCGGGTATACACTATTTTTAGTCAAATTTTGAAAAGGAAAAATAAAGCATCATCCCAAAAAAGCCAGGCATGCACAAACAAAGAAAAGAATCTTTCCCATGATATTAAATTTGCCTTTTTCTCAGATCGCACACGAAAAAGATTCGCCTTTGAAAGTCGGGATCCACTTGAATGGCAATTTTTCTTCCTCCGTCCTGCTGCATACGCTTCTTCTTCTTCTCGCTCTTTATCTCGGGTCTATGCGCAATCTTGGAGGAGAGAAAACGAGCAGGGCACTCTCTTCGCAAACATTTGCCGTTTTGCGGGGTGCAGCAAGGCCGATGGTATTTTTCGTTTCCTAGACTTGCTCTTCTCTCTTCACAAAGCATTGCCGCGGACGCGAGAGACTAAGAGAGTTTTCAGCCAGCAAAGAGAGATCAAAGCTTCCTTATTTTTCCCGCGAACGCCAACGGACGTGCTCGCCAAAAATGATAATCCCTTTGATGCCCTCGCCCAAAAACAACCCCACTCGGCAGGATTAATTCCGCGGATTTTATATGCACGTGCTTGCGTTGGGAGAGTGATGAAAATATGCGTTGAGTGGAATAAAGTCGACGCAAAACAAAAGAGTGAGAAAAGCGGGAAATTTCTTACGCCTTATTTTATCGCATGGCCGGTGATGAGTTTTCTTTCGTCGCACCGAGAGCGCGCCGGAATGATTTATGGGTGATCATGAATATAGGGTCGATACTTTTTGCCGAGAGTGCCTGCTTAGTATTTATGGGAAAACAATATTTCACCGCAGCTGCGGACAAAACCGTGTATCTGGGATTATGGATTTTCAATGAAGTTATTAGGTGTGGTAAATTACGAGAGCGACGGAAGGAAAAGCAGCTCGTCATAATTTTCCACGTCCGTTTGCCACCGAAGATTTTCTGCGGCGAAATCACGTTCTCGCCACTCTTGAAAGGGCCCTGTCTGCAACCGAGTAGCCAATTACTCGTCGAAGATAATTAGAACTTTGGGTTGGCGCGGATGTGACTTTTTTTCAGCTCTCAGCAGCCGCCGTTCTTTATTGCTGAATTTTCATGTGTTCTTTTTCGCTCTTGATAAAGCTGGCGGAATAAGGAAGCCTCTGCCGGTTCATTGGATATTGAAAGATCCATTACTCAAGTTTTAATGATCATTCTGATCGCTTACCGATAAATGCAATTTGCAAGAAGATGATGACATTGATTTTCAGTGGCAGAGGCTGGTATGTTGATTTATATGATCTTACACAATGCCAACTGTTATAAATCTCTTTCTGAACAGGAAAACTTTTTCTTGTTCATTTAAATTGGTGAGGTTTTCACAATTCTGATAATCTTTTTCCTTCTTTTGTTTTGAACCTTAATTCAAAGAATATTAAAACATAATGCATTATTTCACATAAGTTATTTGAAAATTAAAATTCTCTATAATAATTGGGACATATTTTCTTTTAAGAGCGTGGAGTTATTTTTCAGCTTAAAATATTTAATTTATACGTTAAAAAAATAAACTGCCGAGCAAATGTGCTCGTCAGGAGCACCAGTCGATAAGTTTTCAAGCTTGACTGGACTTGTACCATTTTAACAATTAATATCATCTTAAAAAAAAAACTATCAATATCCGTGAGCAGCTCATATCGTTAAAAATTGCCAAAAGCCTGCACAATAGTGCATAAAAAAAGTAAAGCAATTTCATGAGCTGGTTTTATGCAAAGATTGAATTTAATCAAAAAAGAGTTTTTGTAATATCGGTACCCCTTGCTCGTCTGCTTGCTTGCATTTGTGTTTCCGTTGCACAAAGGCCCTCAGCCCTTTGTCAGGCAGCGATATTTCCACTCCGAACGTCACGTTTCGTTAAGATCCATTAGCAGATTAGCCCTTTGACGTGAAAGCAAAAACAAATATATATAAAAAAAAACTGCTGGAATAAGAGTTATGTATTTTTCACATAGGCGTGTCTGTCACCGACAAAATGAAGATAACAGCCTCTGAGCTTACGATATAAGTTATTTATCAATATTAATACTGTCGGCTGTCCCAAGTCGTTCATTTTTCAAGTTCCGGCGGCGACGCCACAAAAAGCTGCGGTGTGTGCCGATGAGCCGGTCCACTAGCGGAGGCGCTGTTTTGATGTATTACCTGCCAAAGTGGAGGATCAGAAGCAGCCGGCTGCATTGTCCGTCAGTCTCTCTCTCCTTTTTGTAATTCCTTGCAGCGGCCTTTGTTGAGGTTCCGGCGAGGGGGTCACGGATCGAGCTGTATTATGATGTGCCAGCAAAAAACTACCCACCGAGTGGTACCTCGTGTATGTATAACATCCACGCGAATTTTTCTCCTCTCCGTCCATGGAGAGCCGTGCTTCTTTTCACGAGATACACACACGCTGCTTCCTCTCTGGCAGCTCTCAAAAGGGCCCTTTCATGCGGCCTTGTTTGCAAGTGACAGGGGCGTTGAAAAAGTAATGTTTTCCTTTATTTTTCGCAAATATTTCTCCTCGTGTGTGCGTCGTCGTGCGCGTGGCACTTCTCGACGAGATGCCAACGAGAAGCAATCGCACCAATGAATTATTAACCGTCCCGCCGGCAATTTCGTGTCGCTCCCGCCCCTTTCTAGTAATTTATGTTGGCCCGTTTGTTCTCCGGGCCGCTCGAGTGTCTTGTTTTCGCCTATTCGGCCTAAGTAAGTGCTTTTTATAAACACTCCCATTAGCGTTCCGTGGCCCTCTGATGGGTTCCTTTAATGGACTTCTTAGATTGAACGATTTTATCCCATGATACCCCTTTTTTTGGTGGGAAATCCGAAAACGACTTTTCTTCAAATATTTAGTGCAAAATTTTATTTGAAATGTGATAATATTAATATTGTAGAAGGCAAATAAGACGAGATAATATTTGACTAGATATATTCAGTATTGTAAATGAGTCTCTCAATTTATGGATTTCAAACAATAAAAGCTGTCACACAAATGCAGCATAAAAATACAAAAATTAATATAAACTTTTAATAACAGGTTCGTGCTATTTAAATATATTTGGGCATTTTTTTTATAGTTTTAAGGGTAATTGCTGAATTCCGAAAACGAAAACATGCCATTTTGGTTTTCAGATATGTTGTTGGGTATGATAAGAGGTACCTCTCCCTAAATTTTCAGATGAAAATTTCATGTGCTTTTCCGGGAAATCGGATTTCCGTAAAAAACCAAAAAATGGAATATCTTTGTTTCTAGTAAGAAATTTCAAGTACTCTTTTCACTACTAGACGTAACTTTTTAAGCTGAACAACTTTGCCGTTGACATCTTTTGTGTAGGTCAAAGGTCAAGGTCACTAAATTACAAATTTCACTTTTGAACGCAATTTTCAAAAAGAAGCACACCTTTGATTTTTTTCTAGGTATAGGAAAAAATGTAGCCCCAAGTGTGAAGAACAATATACATGATTTTCAAAATGGCGTTATTTTTAGTTCAAAAGATAATTTTAAGAGAATATTAAAAAACAGGTAAAAATCGCTATTCGGCAATAGAAATTAATTTTCAAACAGCAATAACTTAGTTTCTGTGAGAGATACGACCGTAGTTGTAATGACAAAAAGTGTTTTAAATTACTTGTTCTATCGAACCATGTATTAGTCATCCATGTTTGGTCACTTAAGGTTATTGACCCCCCGTGACCTATGACCTTAAAAAAGGGTTAATCAAAATTGTGGCACAAAAAATCGAAGAATACTTTTAAAACAATTTTCTCGTAAAAAATTTTATGCAAAAATATTTTTTTAAGGTCATAGGTTACGGGGGTCAATAACCTTAAGTGACCAAATATGGATGACCAATACATGGTCTGATAGAACAAGTAATTTAAAACACTTTTTGTCATTACAACCACGGTCGTATCTCTCACAGAAACTAAGTTATTGCTGTTTGAAAATTAATTTCTATTGCCGAATAGCGATTTCTACCTGTTTTTTAATATTCTCTTAAAATTATCTTTTGAACTAAAAATAATGCCATTTTGAAAATCAAGTATATTGTTCTTCACACTTGGGGCTAAATTTTTCC